GGGTTGAAACGTCGGCAAATGTTAAAATAAATATTACTATTTATTTTTGCCATTTTTATTTTGACTGACCACCCCAACCATTCTTCTCTTCGTTATTCACTACAGCCAACCATCAACCTACAATTATGAATAATCAAATGAATGAATAGATAAGCAAATGAAACAACTGATATGGTTCAACTTGGGTTGAATTTTTGAACTACTTTTCATATAAAATAAAGATAATAAAAGCAATGAAATAATTTGGTAAATAACTTAAATAAAAATAAAGGCTAGTAGATGGGACCCACAACCTATGGACTAGAGAAGAAAACAGCCAACAAAACACCCTCCTTTTGATTGATTAACTGTTATATTTCAATTACACTACTGCACATAATTTTCAGGTGAAATGTTGAGAATCTAATATATCTATAATATATAATGTCTACAAATATTAACTTTTTTTCTTCTTCAATATTTTGAAGTATGTTTTTGGCAAAGCTCAGAAGTTTTTCAAAAGAACAACTTTTATCCACAATCATATATATATATAAGTAGATATTATATACAGTGATAGAAAAAAATGGAAAGTAATATTTAAATTTAACAGACATGCGAGAAAAAACATAATTATTTAAAAAGAGGATGTCATACCACCTGTAATTTTTACTTTCACTTCTTTTTAAATGAAAATACCTATTTCTATTCAAATTAGAGTGGTAAGTGAAAGTTGTGTGATACGCCTGCCACACCAATTTTTTTAAACTACTTAGAGTACAAGTTTTATGGTCCTGTGCCAACCTTACTACTGTATCCCATGGAAAACCAACATCTACTGTATAAAGGGAACTATCGTTTAAAAGTTCAACTTCCCAGAAATTGTGATTTTTTAGATAAATTGATTAATAAGTCAGTGAGTGAATTGTATCTTCTTTAATATAGAGATAGAAGCAGGTTCTAGGAAAATGTGAATAAAAAATTTATTCAAATTACTGTATGATGTATACTACTTAATATTAATCAAATGGAGATTACTTTTCTTTAATTTTATAGAGAATTTAGTTAGCTTATAAAGTAAGTTCCTATAGTTTTCGAGGAGGGGTACAGTTTTCAAGTTATTCAGTGAATAATGTTTATGTTTAGGATTTTTAAATAATTTTACAAGTACAAATTAATAAAAATCCAGCCTTATTATTCATCTACTAGATCAAGGAACTACCAATTAGAACTTCAGCTTTATGAAAAAAAAACATCTGGTGCATCTCACAACTTTCACTTAACATCCTCTTCTTAGCAGAATTAAGTATTTTCAGATAAAGGGAAGTGAAAGTCAAAATTATAGACAGTACGAAACATTATTTAAAACAATTAATTACCAACTGTTTTTTTATAGCCGTATAATGTATTATATTTATTTTGTTTGACACCAGCAATTTCTTTTTACGACTGTATATTTCAATTATTTATTTGATTATAGTAAATAATTAAGTGTCACGAAATATTTTTAGTTGAACAAGAATGCCACTGATAAAGAAGGCCGTTATATTTATTTATGTTTCATTGTGGAGATTTTTGTTTGTTTAAGTACCGGTATATAAACTGGCCCACTTGCCAGGTTCCTAAGTTCTAAGTTCTAAGTTCAGACTAACATCAAGTTCTCCCCACCAGTACTGGTATATAAAAATTATAATTTTTATAACGTTATAATCTATATAATTAAATATTAAATAATACCTAAGATAGCATTTATGAAAACCGCATATATTTATACATATAATATTGTGGAAGTCCATATTATATTATGTATGGAAGCCTGTTATAATCTTTCAAATGAAATCGTATTCCTTTAGTCCATCCATTACAAACTCTTATTTATCCTTTAGTTAATTATCAAATTCTATTATATTTTATATTTGACTATTTTTTATATCTTAGTTTAGTGTGAAATGGTTAATTATTTAAAAAAATAATTAAAGGTACTTTAAAGGAAGAATTATTGAGAATTAGCTGATTTTGACAAAAAAGTAGCTGTAACATCCCAGGCACATACAAATAGTGATGGGGCCATATAGGCGGAGCTGTGATTCTGTCACTGTGACTGGACTGGAGCTGGTGATCACAGTGACAGGCGCACCAAAATCACAGTCAGTAACTGTAGGCGCTGTGAAACCACTGTGCTCCAACAGTGACAGTCACGGTTGGCGCTGTGAAATCACTGTACGCCAAGAGTGACGATCACTGTTAGCGCTGTAAAATCACAGCTCTTATCACTACGTACATACAGGTATACGTATAATATACCTTTGGAAAGTGGAGAATTTTAGAAAAACAATATTTAATGTATAAAGTCGTAAAAAATAATGGAGAGTGAAGAAAAAAATATAAATAATAATTTCTGAAGACTATTATTATTTAATGGATCACGTGTTTTCAAGGAAATTAAATGAAATTTATTAACTAAATGTAAACTTTTGAAAGTTTAAAAAAAAAGTATTTAAAACCCTCCTAATCAAGGTGATTGTGTGAAAGAAGAAGTGAAATATAAAAATATTATGAACATATGTTACACAAGAATGTATAGAACATATGTTTATAACCTTAAATACATTTACTGTAGTTTAATTATTCTAGATCTGATATTATATTTAGACAATTAGCTATCAACATCTGTTTATTCCGAAAAATCGTCATGTAACGTATTAAAAAATTTAAATATTATCTACTTAAATTTTTTTTTTTAAACATATTTATTGAAATATATTACAATCTGTCTCAAGGACATTACATAAAATTAGTGTAACAACTTTTGACTAATCTATGGCAGGCAATGAAAATATCGTAATTTCATTTTAGTAAACTTTACAATGGAAACTAACGTTCAATAACTAAGAGGCGTACAATCCATAATCATTTATAGGGTTAATATACTGATACAATCTCTTTAGGCAAGCATGTAGATATAGAGCTTATAGACTGAAGTTATGTGGTTTACAAAACAGATGGAGTAACGAGGTTTTATTGCCTACCGTTGACATAATAAACAGGGTTTTTGTTATTATAATGGTTTTAATGATTTGTTACCTGGAAGCTTTAAGCTGTGGCTCCGTTAAAAATGCACTTCAAACATTTTATAATAGCCCAACTTTGCCAGAAAATAATTTCTATTCAAAGTAGAGCTGTAAGTGGAAGTGGTGTGTTGCGCGCATCAGATTTTTTATGCCTTATAACGATTTATGTTACTTTACTTGTAATATAGTATCAATTCACAATAATGAAAAATATCCGTTTATGAAGGTAAAATAATCGTTCATAAATATTCAACATAATTCAGAATTAGATAAAAAAACCAGTCCAACATGAAGCTTAATTAATATATTTACTTTCTAATATTTTTACTGTGCTTAATTAATTTGATTTAGTTGATACCCTTACTTAGGAGGTACCTATAGGTTGATAATATACCTACTTTTTAAAAAAAAAAAAATTTAAACTAGTAATCGAATAAAATTTTAAAAACCATTTAATTAGAATTAACGATTAATAAATGAATTAAAGGAATAATCATGAAATAATTATTTCTAAAATGGTAGTTATTCGTCAAATTTTTTAAAAATAGTTTTTGAACTTTGATGAATTGAACATTCATTGCCATATATTTCTGAATGAGTCATGTCAGAAATAATTAACAGAAAGTTTTTCATTTAACTGTAGAAATATAAATAAGAAATTAATTAAGAATTAAATAAATTCAAGTATTCTCTGCCGGGATGCATACAGAAATCAAGGGATCCAGAGATATCCTCCCCCCCTCTCCCTCCCCGTCAAATATAAAATTTATCACAGCAAAAAAAATTTTTTATTTTAATATAATTTTGAACACGTAAACTATGATTTCACAGTGACGCTTTCGCCAAGGAGCTATTATATACTTATCACCAAAAAAAAATCACTGTAGTGACAAATCACTGTGATTTTCCCGGAGCTGTGACAGAAAATGTCTGACACCCCATCAGTACATACAAACCTTAAATATGCAATTTCACTTTCATACAACTTTTCGTTTTTGAGCTAGACTGTTAACACACACACACACACATACAGACCGTTTTGTGGTACTTGGTTATTTGGGCTCAGCGGATCTCAAAACATGTTTCCATTTAAAACTGCGATTAGAAAATTTTCACGATTGCAATACGTTCTTTTACGTATATATTATATATTTCAAATATAGGTGAGTGAAAGTAATAATAATAAACAACGTCAGTGTAATAGTTCATGAGAACATCATAGCACAGTTAAACAGATTTTGCATGCTACAAAAGCAAGATATGAGAAAAAAAAATTCCTGCAACTCTACACGACAACAATGATGTAAGGATATATCCCTTATCATTACATACTAAGGCAGAATATTCTGTGGGATAAAAAAAGTGCTTGCCTATTAATATTTTGAATTGGGGGTTTATTTTTTTCATTTGCAGCGAAGATTATCTTCAAAATGGTTCAACTGATCCTTAGTTTTCAAGAAATATTAAGGGAGACATGGCATAACAACAAATAAACATCCTTGAGAAACAATACAATAGAACCTAATTTATAATTATTTTAACTTCAATTTAACATCCACATCAACTAGTGACAAACAGCAAATGTTTTTCAATGAGAATATTGTTTAAATAAAGTAGAGAAAAGATGTCCACCTTAGAGGTGATATTTTGTGATAAGTCACTTCTGAATTTAATTTCCCACTTTTAAACAAGCCCTATAATTGTAAATGATATTGAAGTCAACTGACAATGTCAGTAAAGCCCAACGAATGTTCTGAAATGTCTGAACTGATTTGTTTTAAAATTTTGTTAGTAACAATTTATAAACCTAGTTTAAACTTATACGGTAACAAAATAATTCACAAAATTATAACTGAAGGTAAAACACTAAACAACCTTCATTAGACTACATAAAAGTGCAATCCAGAGAAAGTAATATTTATATAAACAATTAATCAAAATTGAAAATACCTTCCAACTTAAGGTACAGTACAGTTCTATGTTAACAGTTCGACATAAAGTGGCAACAAATGGAGGTAAGGATTCATATGGTAAATTTGTATAGCAAACAATTTTATCAAGGAGATCCAGACAATTTATAACAACTTGTTCCTCCTTGCTGTTACAACACAAACCACAAGTTTTCCTAAAACAAAATATTTTAACTTACAGATTAAAAACAATAAACTAAACATGGTTTATTCTGTAATAAGTTAATATATCATACTCAACAATCCCACAGATTATATCTTCATCAAAATATGAAGCATTGTATTTTATACAAGTAATAAGAATATTCAAGTATTCCAGTTCCTTTCCAACACTAACAATGACTGTCATCCAATCCAAAAGAAACATTCCAACATTTTCTTCTAAATATAATATATCCTTACCATTATCAGTTAAACTTTGAAATAACTCCAACCTAGAAAATATACATATTTTAATTTTAAATAGACAACTCTTATTATATTCATTAATACTAAATTTGAATTACATTTAAAAACACAAAAAAATCATACCTTAAAATTACATCATCGGAATTAGTATGATTTCTAATCAATTTAAAAACCTGAGCCCTCATAATACCTAATCGCTCATACTGTCCCTGAATAAGAGCTCGAAAAAACTCAAACACTAAATGACGATTTTCTTTATTTTCTTCGATAAATAAATCTTCCAGTAAACACCACAGTTTTGCAGGAGCATTCTATTTAAAGTTAAAAAAAAAACAAATAAAGTTGAAATGATTGAATTTCGTATGTATATAACAAATAAAATAAAGGACAAAAATAATCACTTACTTCCTCTAATTTGTTATTTAATACTGTTTCATGTAGTTCTTTCACAGTTTTAATTCTTATGTGCAAAGGTGTATCAGAAGACAAATATTTCTCGATTTCAATGGGTAAGGAAAATTCTTCTTTGCATTTCGTTGAACCTATGAAAAGACATCATCTAAAAACTGGTTCTATACTTATGGCAATAAAGGATAATAATGTTAAGCTTTACCTGGTGCACCTTTATTAATTCTGAAAAATTGTTTTAACTTGTCTAATGTTTTAACTTCCTTATCTTTGGCACTCATTTCGTTTCATATAAGCAAAGTACATTTGAAGTTTATATTATAATCACAGTTTTTTCGTTAACATAAGAATAAAGAGAAAAATAATTCCAATTCAACTGTAAACAGAACATATTCTTCCATACACAGCCAACAATCTAAGAAGAACCTTCAGTGGGGAGGTAATGGAAAAGCAACAAGCAGAATTAAGGATCTTTTAAAAATCTATTCCTATCTCTTTGTATTTAGAGAAAACAGGAAAGCTGGTGTTTTTTATTCTTTTTACAATTGCCTCATTATTAATAAATTATTCTAATAAAGGATAGTTTAGTATTATTAATTTTACTATTAGAGGAATACATAAATTTTCTGTCGTTTAAGTTATCCAAATATATTTTCAGAAACTTCAATGGCATACGTATGTGACAGATTTTAATAAACAGCTAACGGAATATTTGCTTTTAAAACTATGATTTCCAAAGTCTCACGTGAATTCGTCCGCTAGTTATTATTATTATTATTTTTTTTTTTTTTTTTTTTTTTTTTTTTTTATAACATATCCAAAGAACAAAAAGAAGACATCAAAATCCCGGTTCTTCTTCATATTTCCAGTCTCATTTTATCGCTACGAGTAATGATAAAATAACGTCTGCCAAGTAAGGCCAGTATAGCTTCCTGACTGTGTTCATTCGCTAAACAAAATATCTAAATTTCAAATTCTATAATTTTTCATGAGATTATATGATCCTCAGGCACAGTACTAGGATAAGGGTGAACGATGTTAGAATGATGAGAGGACCGGAATGTGGTTCGGATCATTTTCTTTTAAAGAGTATACTGAATTTTAAACCTCATAATCTTCTCAGAAATTTTCCAGAGACTAGAGAAAATTCAGACTCTCCGAAAACAATTCGATACTCAATTGATAGTATGACAAATCAAGAATCAGTAAAAGGACTGTTCCAAAGCCGACTGATGGAGAAATTAAATTATGAGAAAGGTTTGAATGATCAACTATATTACGAGAACATAGTAAAGTGTCAACATGCCGCAGCTTTAGAAGCTGTCGGAGAGGAAAGGAAAGAGGTTAGAGGAAAAAACAAGCATTGGTGGAATGAGGATACTGAAGTGGCTGTTCAAGAAAAAAAAAATTATGCAATAAATGGTTGAGCTCTAAAAATGAGAAGGACCTGAGGGAATATAGAAATGCCTGTAAAAAGTAAAATCTATTAGAAGGAAGGCATTAAATATCTATTGGGGAAAACCTGTAAGTATGTGGACACTTACATTGATGGGCAAAAGTCTAGTGCTGCTTGGAGGACATTAACAAAATTGAAAAATCCCAAAAGATGTGCAGATAACTTCCCATTGATCAAAGAGCAGCAATGGCTGAATTACTTTGAAGAATTATTTCATGAGGAGCAACCCGAATTTGCATGGAACCAATCGAATGAAATAATATCAAATAAGGAAGATATACCGGCAGTAACAATTATAGGACTGGATTTAGTTCTAAAAGGAATGAAAAATAGAAAATCCCCCGGCCCCGGTTCTATTCCAATTGAATTAATTAAAACAGGCCCGACCGAACTCAAAATGGCACTGGCAGAGAGTATGACACTTTTGTTAAATGGTGGAGAGATCCCCGAAGAATGGAAGCAGGGTTATATCACCCCAGTTTTCCAAAAAGAACAAAAGAAAGATGTTTCCAATTACAGATGTATTACGGTTACCAGCTCGCTGAGTAGATTATACGGCCGAATAATTAGAAGCAGAATCGAAAAGGACTTAAAGGAAGAGATCAGCGAGGAACAGGCTGGATTTCGAGCTGGAAGATCATGGAGTGATCACATTTTTAGTCTCTCACAACTTACTGAAAAGATGGCCCACGACCGTGAACTCCACATGATATTTGTAGATTTACACAAGGCCTACGATTCAGTACCTCTAGGGAAATTGTGGAAAGCTTTGGAAGCCACATCTATTAAGAGATACCTCATCAGAGCAATCCAAGGGCTCTATAAAAATATAAGGGAGGCTATAAAAATAGGAGATAGAGTACTAGAAGCTTCCCCATTAACAAAGGATTGAAACAGGGCTGCTGCCTTTCACCCCTGATTTTCAACATTTATATAGAACAATCCCTTAAAGACTAGAAAAGATCGTGCGGTAGAATGGGTGTTCAAATCGGGGATGATGTAATCTACAATTTGCAGTATGCCGATGATCAAGTCATAATTGCATCGGATCCGGATGATGTGAGCTATATGATGAGGAAGTTGCTGGACACGTATTCCAGATGGGGTGTGAAAATCAGTAAAAGTAAAACAGAGTACATGGTTTTCAACGCTCCAAATTTGCCCCTTGAAATTGATGACTGGACGCTCAATGTCAGCCAACAGTTCAAGTACCTCGGATACTGGCTATCTTCAAAGGGAGGTAGTGTGGTTGACATCGAACATAAAATAAACAATGGGAAAATCTCCAATCTAAGATTGGAAACTAAAAAGAAGATCTACCATTCCTTTGTAGAAAGCGTAGCCACCTATGCATCAGAAGCTTGGGCAATTACAAAAAAAGGCGGAAAATAGGTTGCTTTTCATGGAAATAGATTTCTGGAGAAGAGGCTGTGGTATATCGAGAATCGAGCGGATACCAAACGCAGCAATTAGAGACAAGGTCGGATGATTTTCACCTGATCGGGACCAAACGGTTAAAGTAGTATGGCCACTTAATGCGGATGGATGAGAACCGCTGGCCAAAGAAAATTTATAACTATGCCACCTGAAAGAAGGAAGCGTGGAAGGCCAAAGAAGAAATGGATAGAGGACGTTGAGGATAGCATGGCAGCCAGAGGGCTCCGTGAAGGAGATTGGATGGACAGGAAGCAGTGGCTTTTGGATGTTGGGAATATGACTCCTTAAGTTGTAGAAAACCCAAAATTAAAAAAAAAAAAAATTCTTGTAAGAATAAAATCTCAGGGAGAAGCCGTTTTGGAAATACAGTAATTCTGTAACCTTCGTGGGTTTTACATCCACGAATTTTGTACCGAAATGCGGAAGAGTCCTACATTTGCAAATCGCGTATTTGATGAATCGTGATTTAAAAAAAAAAACAGTACATACTGAAAATGTACATCGCTACTGTTAGTACAAAAGGACGTATGCAAAAATTAAGTGTATTCCAGGGGAGCATAAAAATTAATTATTTCTTTATGATTTATCAGTGTGATTTCATATTTTATTTTCTTCTGCTATTTTCCATAGTATCCGGCTACTGTCGCATTTCAGATCGCAATTGCGCATCACGCTTTTGTAACTTTCCGGACTTGATCGATATTGGGGTCCACAATAATGTTATCGAGGGCGCTTTTTATGAAAATACTGTCGCATTCCATATTTCGAATTACGTTTTTATAGCTTTTCGAATTAGATTGATATTAGTTCCCACTAAAATGTTATCGGGGTGCAGTTTTTATGGGAATACTGTCACATTTCAGAATGCGCAATAGCGTATCACGTTTTTGTAACTTTTCGAATTCAATCAATATAAGGGTCCACTATAATGTTATTGCACAACATATTATAGCCTTTGTTATCGAAAACATATTATAGCCAATTATCTCCGATTTCCCTAAAAAGTAATGAAAAATAAATAAAATAAGAGAAAGCTTAGATTCTGGAAGCTAGATACTGTTTCAATAATATTGAAGGAGCTTCAATACAAATTTTAAAAAATTGATATCAACCAGTATGATTGACGTCAATGTAATTGATGCCAATAATAGCCCTTAAACAGTCAATATAAATTGACGAAACTCAATATTGTCCCTTTAGATTTTCTTAATTGGTGTAATAAAAATATTTGTAATATGTGATATAAAATTATAGGGATGAAAAAAATTATCAGGAATTGCAGTAAAAATGTTTTAATTTAATTAATTTATTTTTTAAATTTTTTATTTAAAGAAATTTTGAGTGCAAATTCTGACAATTATTTTCATTATTATAATATCGTTATATCATTAAAAGAAATAAGCGCAATTTCTACAAACAAAATTAAACAAAGATTGTGCTACAATGTTGTTTTGTTTCACTAAATATTTCTAATATTTCATTACTCAACATTTCTTTTTATGTATCTCTGAGACTCCTTAGCCCACATTACTATTCTCAGGTATTATTCTAAAGGGACTTGTCTAGTAATAAATAAAGTATTATTATTATTAAATAAGTATAGATCTTCGCTTTTTTTGTTTATGTAACATTTTTGTAGTTTTTTTACAGTATATGACTTTTGAAATAATGAATTGAAAAATAATCTTAATAACAATTTTGTTCTTTTCGTTTCAGGTCTAGCCCGCAATTTCGTAGATTGCTATTTTACAATTCTACAAAAATCCTTCCAAATGTTTTACAATATATCATTCAATAAGTTTAATAATCATATTGAATGGGTTTGATATTCGAAGACAACACAGGTGTCTCTCTATGGTGATTATTTCCAGAAGTTTTTTTAGTCAGGATGTTTTTTTTATAAGCTCTATGACCCACTAAGTTTTTAGTGTTGCCTCCTTCACAGTGACTTAATAATATTACTAAGTTATTGTAGCCTTCTTTACAGTTTCTTAATAATATAGTGCGGGCCCACATTGGTTCGGCGGGAAACTAAGATTTAAATATGTTTTCTTTGCTATTTCAACTTAAATAGTAATCATTGCAATATACTATTAACTAGAATGGTTTGGAAGATAGGATTGAAGTTGTGCATGTTGAATGAAGCCTACGAAAAACTTATATCACGCGAAAATGAATAATAAAATCAAAGAACAATATTTTGTTTCTTTTATTTTACTTTTTTTAAAACATATTTCAATAAACTTCGGCATATTGCGATTTCCAATTTATTCATCTAATTTTCTCATAGTTTCAATATATCGGAAATAGATGGCCTAATTTAAGTTTTTTTTTATCTCTAAAAACAGATGGTCTATAATTATTGCAATATTACAAACATATTGCATTAGTCGTTGTACTATGTAGCTGAATCATCATTTAGGAAAAGGGACTTGATATGTCTTATATACTTCAAAGAGAAAAAGTCTTCAATAAAAAAGGAGGCCATTCTTTAATATCTGCCATAAAGCTTAAAATTCCTGGAAAATTGAAAAGTGTAAGCCCTTTTACAGATCCACGGGCTTGGAGTCTAGATCGAAACTCGCAAAGGAAATATTTTTTAGATTCCATAGCTAGAAATGTAAGTTTTATTTACATTTGATATATTAGACAATAATTTAAATCTATAAAAAATTGATAGGCAAGTTCATGTCTAGTGTGAACAATGACTAATTGGGTCTTCGATAGTTTCAGATCTTGACGTTGGTTTTATTTTTTTTTTTTTAGTATTATTATGCGCACACAATTTATTTTTTCAATTTACTTGTTTATTCAATGGAAAACTAAAGAATATTGAGCGAGATTGATATCAACTATCATTATTTTATGATTTTTCAAATATTAAAAAAAAAAAAAAGGATTCTTTTTCGTTACACTAATAATATTATTGGAACGATCTGTTTTCCTTTACTTGTCCTCCAACGGATATAAAGTCGTTCAATCAGAAGGATATTTTTTCACTTGTGTTGCTTCACCATGATGGCTGGGCTGGCATAATATAAAACTGGATGAAATTCCGAATATTTCCGAGTGTGTACGAAAGAACATGGACTTCAGTTCAACTTAAAAGGATCCGTGGAAGTTTTGTTTAACTCATAGGAAGCCGAAAACAGCGATGTAATTAAAGCTAATTTAATTGAAAAGAACTACGTAAAAATTTTCGGATGTTGTTAATCGCGATATAGATAAAGTAAGGGAATACTCGGCCATTATCCAAAATCCATTAAGAATGCAAGCAAGAAAGTGAATCTTGGACCCGTCCATCATAGTGGTGCACAGTTTTGAAGCAGTACCGTCAAAAATATTTTTTTTTTTCCATTTTCATTCAATTTTCATAAGATATTTTTAAAATTTTTGTTAATAAAGACCTTAACGTTATACTGCATTAAATATATCGATAACCACACTGCAAAATCCAGTAAGAACAAAAACTGAAAATAGTCAATAGATTTTTTGGAGGTGAAAGACAAAGATGAAATGATCTATGTAACATTTTTGATCGTATATCAGCCAAATAGTTTTTAGACACATTTTCATAACACAGAAATTTTGTTCTAGCTTAAAGCTTTTTACCCACTTTGAAAAAGAGGTATTAGTTAGATAACAACAATTACATTTATCATTCAGGCACCCATAACTGTGTAAAAAATTAATAAATCAAGGCAGAAGGGAAAAAGTCTGTTTCCTTAATGTAGAAAAACGATAGCTCGAATGATAGAAAACATTTGACCGGTAAACGATAATTTGATCACAGACGGCATTCAATTTTTTGTCTCTCACTGTAGAGGTGGCTCGGATGGAGTGCATGCGCCCCATTTTGGAGTAGTCCATGAAATTTTCGTTATCAACGTACAAGGATTTGACTTTGCGAATTTGTTGGCGTACTTAGGAGGCAAACATACTAAAAGTCCCCGCCGCTAACCCCTGCCGCTTCATGGTAAGGGAGCGCCCCAAAGGTCACTTTTTCCAAATTTTCTCATATATATTGAAAACATTAAAGCTGATCAATTTTCCTTCAAGAAAATGTATATTAATTTCATTCGCATCTGTTATAGTTTTCGAAATATTTACTACTAGTAGGCCCGTGCGAAAAATTCGCACAGCATATTGTTATCAAATGCCAAATTAATAAGAAAATAAAATAATGCAACGTATCAAAAGATAAGGAAATTAATTGTTACTTTATCCATAAATATAATCCACAAAGGAAACAAAATTAATTTAAATCTTCATTTTTGTTTGGAACCAACATATTTACAAATTTCAATAAGCTGTATCTTTGCGAAAAATTGTCCGATTTCAATGATTTTTTATTCCTTTTGTAGACAATTAAGTAATGTTTTATATAATCATAGGAATAACCTAGGGAAAAGTGTGTAATTTTTTAGTTATTCGCAAATAAAGTTGTTTTTTTTTCATAACCTGTTTGCCTGAATTTTCGGGGGGATTGGAATATTTTTCCCGCCTGAAGGAAAAGGAAGCCTTCGAAATTGGTGGCTCAATCTTGAGATTTGGTGAAAAATTAACGATGATATGGCTTACCGATCAAAAACATCATCGATAAATAATATAAACTCCTCCTGTCTCGATCATAGAGACCTCAAGTCGACGAAATGAGACATGTATCCCATGACAGTACTACAGTTAACGTCAGGTTGTGTGGATGCGAACCCCATGCCTTGCGTTATCTCGAAAATGGTACGTTTTTGGGCTTAAAAACGCAGGATCCGATAGTTCCGGAGGAACTATCCGGGTCTTGCTGTACGCATCAAAATCTTCAAGGTCCAATTTGTCCCGCATCGATCTACAGACCTACCACCGTTCCAGTATTGAAGCCTAGCAAAATGTTTGTATCGACTTTATTTATTTTAGAAAGAAAAACAAAAGCGGAGAATACGATTCGCTAACCCCCCGTGAAATTCTGAATCCAACGGTACCTCATTCATGGTATTTGAGCATGGCAGGAGCTTATATTTGGTACAAAACCGATTTCGAGCCTTACTGTAATAATATATGTACGGATCTTAAATTGACAAGTTTGAAAAATTTATTATCGACTCACGTTTTTTTTTTTATAAAACTTGTGGTTTTAACACCACAGCGTTTCGTTCTGCAACAGCGTCGTCTGAAATAAAGTTATAGAATATAGTTTTTCCTTTAAATGTTTATATCCAGCTACTAAATCGATTCACAAAGCATAGATGTCTCATTTCTGACGAAATATGTATCCTTTTTTTTGCTACGGTAGGTTTTTATAACGGAATAGTTTTTCGGGAGCTATTGTTTGTTTTTACAATTTTGTTTTCATTGATATAAAACAGCGAGATACTGTTAGTTTACATATATAATAGTAATTATTTGTTATAATACCTATCTTCTTTGTAGATAACCAATGGATCAAGCTCCTCCAGCGATGAGTGTTTGATACCAATAACTCCAAAAAAGAGGAGAAATTCTTCTACTACTCAAGTAGTCAAACCTAAATCGCTAATTAGAAAAGCTATATCAGCGGAGCAGCTGGTAATTCATCAATATATAATAAATATAGTGTCTCTATCTATCTCTACCCGCCCACGCCATGCTATGCCTCAGTCTGGCAAAATGAAAATGAAAAATAATAGAAAGGACATATGAGTGGCTTAATATCAAAGACGAACATTTGCATTTTTAAATTTTTGTTGAGAAAAACAATTTTCTGTAATATAGCTTCAATTAAAACCAATTCTCGATTTTCGGAGTCTACTACTTTAGCTTCTTAAACACATGAGTCAGTATGCAGATTAATAGAAGATAGTGGGCAGCCGTTCCGGATTTTGTATATCAGGTGGGTTTAGATCAGGAGTTTGTGAGAGATAGTTCTTCTGATAAGGAATGTCTGTTGGAGGATGTAACCGTCGTGCAGTATGAGGCGCTGTTTCATAATTTGATGGAACTTGGGAAGAGGGTGTGAGCAGTAGGTGGGAATGAACCGGATTTGGATGTTCAGGCAGAATTTTAACATACTTAGAGGCCGGGGTGCTAGAAGGTGGTTTCATGGAACTAATTGCAACATCAAAATTTATGAAGGGGCACTTTATGACGGGGTTATGAATTTTAATTCTACTTTCGTTTGAGCTGTTTTTAAGAAGAAGAGACGAATAAAATATTTTTTTGGGGGGAGGGGGGTTTATGCGCCATTGGCCTCGGGGAGGGTGGGGATCCCTCCGCAGAGGTAACTGATAAGGAGCCATTTGCTGACGTGAAGGTTTTGACTGAATATGGGAGGTTTGAGTTTTGGATTTGGAGATCTGGGGCTTAGGTTTGAAATCCTAAGGCCGTGGTTAAACTGGATCCGTCACGACACAATACGACGGCTCTACTGTTCAGTTCAAAAACATAACCTTTCATTCATTATTTAATGTTTATCATCCATTTAATTGTATTATATTCATCCAATATACATAAAAAATAAAAGTTAATTTCTTTATGGTTATTTAATAATTAATAAGTATTAATTGCGGTATTATTTATTCCATAAATAATCCAAGAGTAAAATTCAAAATACACTAGAAAATTACAATAATAGCTATTTTTATTTTATTGTGAACAACAAATAATGATTATTGTCATTTAAATATGTAATACACTTTCATTATAAGTGAAAATAAGTTGTGACTTTTAATAGCTAATGGTACGCAAAATATGAAAATTAAAAATATCAGAAAACATTGTTAATTTTATTTATTATATTTTTTGAATTTAAAAAATAAAGATAAAATATATTTTTTTATCTAGCTCATCATCACCTTTATTCTATAATATAATTAAATATTATTTTGATTCTGCTTATGACTTTAAGTTATATGTAATTCATATTTAGCAAATTAAAAATCTCATTTTAAGGACAATTATCTTAATAAACATTACATATTGTATATTTTAATCCATAATAATTAAATGTTGTTTAAAAATACCGAAATAACATCACATTAGTTAAAAAGGTTAATCCACATCGTGTTTCTTCAGTCCCTAGCAATCATAAATAAAATTATTCAAAACATTCTGTAAAAACATTTGTTTTTTTCTATTCATTAATTACATTTTTCTAGAATTCATATTGATACTATCTTAATTAAATATATAAATTATTTTGGAGGGATTAATTAAATCCACACCTCTTGTTAACCAAAAGCTTTTTTTTCGTTTAATTTAACATCTATGGTTTCAATATCTTTAAGTTATCGTTTATTTATAAATTATAATTCATACATAACACTGTAAATATCTCATTAAATTATTAATTTTAATCCATGACTATTGCATCAATGTTTAAATGAAAAAAAGAAAAAGATTACCAAATGTTTAACATAATTATTCACTATTTTATTTTTCATTTTTTCAATTCTTGCTAATCAATAAAAAAATTATCTAAACCATTTTGTAAAAAAATCTATGCTTACCTAGTCATTAATTGCATTATTTTGAAATTTACATTAAAATTGTTTTATAAAAATATATTAAACTACAGTTCGATAGAAGGAGCGTGGATAGGCAAACCCGCCCAACACGACGTCGTGGAAAGTTCTCACCGCCGGTTTGTTTCCAAACCGATTTTTCAACACGACAATCCATAAATATCAATACTAATTCCATGAAAAATAAAATAAAATTAACACATAAAACAACTACAGAAAATTAAAGACAAGATATTTGAAATATTAAATAACAAACTTAATTCCGGAAACCAATTAATGGATCATAATGCAGTAAAAGTATAAGAAAATAGGAATAAATATTGCAAATCATAATATATTCTATACAAAATGAAACTGAAAACATTAAAAAAAAATTAACATAAATAATAATATTAATTTTGAACTTTACAGAAATATTAATAAACTTAAAGATATAACTAACTAGAAGGATAGAATTAAAAAAAGTTTATTTAATAAAAAATTATTTATTCGATTGTTGATTATTTAATCATTATTTATTTTTTTTTATATTTAATCAATGACAGATTTAAGTTTGGAAATCCCACAAACACTCCAACCAACAAATTTTACATACGAAACTCGTTTTTAATATTAATTAAGAAAAAATATTATTATTTTACGTTTCGCCCTCGTTAATCATTTTTGGAATTTCTAATTTAAAAAAAATAAATAAATAAATATAGAAAATCTTATACCTTATAAGTATCCCTGATATAACTTATTTCACATCTAATATTACAGTGAACCTTTTCATGTTATTAATTTTTCGATATTAGCGAATAACAATTTTTGACAATCCATATATTTATAATTAACTAGCAGTTAGATATTGCAATGTTTTTTTATTCATTAATATATTTTAGTATTGTTATTTTTCTTTTCATTTGCTTCATTTCCGTTACTGCCCCTACTCCCCTCCATTTTATCATTCTGAATTTTCTTCACACCCTTTTAATGTCCATTATTTATTTATATCTATATAATTATATTATATCAATATAATTTTCCATGTCCTTTTGTATCTTGTTCTTTCTAGTGAAGACCTACAAAGTCGGGCCGAAACGTTAGCTAAAATAAAATAGTTTTTCACTATTCATGTACTGTACTACGATTAACCATTCAGTATTTAACACTGCAAATTTTCAAATAGTCATGAGAAGATATTTAATATTTGTAATGCAATAATAATAACAATAATAGTTGCTAACAATAAAGGATAATTATTATCAATATCTTTTTTATGTTGGATTGAATTAATTTTGGATTACATGTTAAATAAATAAAACAGTAATCATTATTGATTAATTTGAAAACATTAAAAAAAAGTCTCCTCCCCTCAAAATTAAATCCTGAATCCAATAGTGTGATTATCAATATAGTTTTTCATTATATGATATAATATAATCGAAAAACAGTAATGTATATATTGATACTAATAATAAATGAGAGTATAGCAGACATAATGTATTAAGAAATAAGAGAATTAATATAAGTAATAGAAATTTCTTGGGTAAGCAAATGATAGTGCAGTGATTCAATAATTGTGATCGCTCAATCTATTCAAAACATCAAATTCTCAACTTAAAAAAACAATATTAAAAATAAATAAATTTTAAAAATAAAGCTTAAATCATCAATTTTGAAATGGGATTGAATAAAATATCTTTAGGGCATTTTTATGCACGGCAACTAATCTAATAATGAATAACAGCTCATATAGATTTATAAATGGTTATGATGAAAAATCTGAAGTAAATAATAAACAAAATTAAGTAATGTCAACATTTCATGGTGATAAAACAAAAATAATGAAGATAATACACAAAAAAGCCGAATTACAGATCAGTTTAAAATAATAATGAAAACAGATATAAAGGACAATGATAATAAAGCAAAACTTCATGTAATTGTGATGAATATCATGAATTAAAATATATACCCAATTTAAAAAATGGAAACATGAAAAAAGAATATATGTATATATATATATATATACATTATTTTTTATAAAATATATAATAATAATAAAATACATAACCATATAACTTATATTAAAATTACGATTAGAAAACAATATAAAAAAGATGTTATACGTAAAGTAAATTTATTGCAGTAAAACACATATCCTACCTATCTACGTAAAGTAAAATGTATCCATTGCTTGCAAAAATATTAAATATCGAAGCATGGAACAGAATTTAAACAAATAGACTGAAATAACTAATAAGTAACGCTAAAATTATACACAGCCATGTAATAGCCATAATTTTGTTAATGTTCAATTCTATTTATTCCAGTGAAAGTCGCTACATATTCATGTTTTAGATAAAATTTTTTTAATATTATAAAATAAGGCTCTGTTTATTTTTTTACCATATTTATTTTAATTTTCATAGCTACGTTTCGGCCGGTAAGCCATCTTCAAGCCGTTTAATTCAGCCATGCTTTTTTAGTCTTTGGACTACATGCAAAAAGCATGGCTGAATAAAATGGCTTGAAGATGGTTTACCGGCTGAAACGTAGCTATGAAAATTAAAATACATATGGTGAAAAATTAATGAAATTTATTTTTATTATTCTGTCATTTTTATACTGAATTTGAATCAATTTTGGGTTATCTATCAAATAAATAATATTGAAATTAATATTTATTAATTGGAAAACATGAAAAAACAATTTTGATAAAGTTAAACTATTATTTAGTACATATATTGGACAAGACTAGAAATAATGAATGAATTAGAAATCTGAGACATGACGTTGCCATGGTAAGTGTATGTTTTTTGAACAGACAGTGCAGAGCCCCTTTTCCGTCGTGTCGTACGATTTACATGTCCATTGTAACCACGGCCTAAGGCGTCTGACGTCGCGATTGAAGAGTTTTCACTGTGACGTCAGAGTATAGTTGCCTGAAGTCCTGATAGGGATGATCTATTGTTGATGAAGTAGAAGGCTGTTGTATTAAATGTGTTACTGTATCGGCAAATTCTGGAAATGTTGCCAAATTTTGAAGTTCAGGTGCATGTACGAGGTATGATTATTCTGTGCATGTTTTTTTCATCTTCATGAATTCTTCATCTTTCAGCCGAGTTTACAAGGAACTCATAGAGCTTCTTGTAAAGTAGACAGCCTCTATAGCGTGCAGGGTTATCCTCACCACAAAGGTCACCTTTTGCGGTTCATTCAGCGGTTGCTGCACTTGCACATTTGAGACACCTCGCCGGTTGATGGTAGTAGGCATTTGTATGCCTCAAGTTTCGACACTTGGTATATTATACGACTAAAGGTTTCTGTTTCACCTCTTCAAATGTAATTGTTGAATACATCAATCTTTTGATTTCAAAGATTTCAGCATTATTCTGGACTTGTTCGAGATCAATGAAAAATAATGGTAGTGGATATTTTAAAATTGGGTGGATATTGAAGATATTTGTCTTACATTGTGGCCAATGTGTCCAAGATATGTGTTTATAGCGGTACTGGGATTGGTTGTGCGAAGACCTCTCAAAACCATTCTGTACATATTTTTTTTTTTAATTAGTAGCAGGAAAAGTCATAATTGTTTACTGTCAAATGATTAATCAGTTGTACATAATTATTTTTGGAGATGGTGTTTATATCTTTATAATTATAATTTAAATAATTATATTTATTTCATAAACACGAGAAAAACACCTGAAGTTAGGCTGTCCGATCAAATCGTATATTTCTTGAACGAACTGCATGAAGTTACTAATTTTACTTTCGTAGGTCGATGGAGGCTCTAGCTCGGTGAATGTACGAGGTTCTTTGATCTCATTTGGTTTAATATTGGCGGCAACAGAAACCGCTGAATGAACCAGCAAATTGTGCCCTTTGTGGTAAGGACCGCCCTACAAGCTATAGAGCCTGTATAAATTACAAGAAGCTCTATAAGCAAAGAATTCATAACATACCATTAAAAAACCATGAACAGAATAATCATAACCAGGCACAGGCACCTGAACTTCAAAATTTTGCAACATTTCCTGAATTGCCGACACAGCAACACAATAAATACAACAGCCTTCTTCACCATCAGCTATAGATAATCTTGGGATGGATAAATTACTGATGCCTAAAAACATATTTATCATCCTAAGTCAAATATCTTCAGATAACCGGAGAAAATTACTTGAAAAATGTGTATACTCAGTAATTTTATATGAAGCTCAGACGAGGTTTGCAACTGAAAAAAATATAATAAAATTCCTGGGACACTATCAAAGAACGAAGTAATTTGTAATTTATGTTTTTTGTCAAAACCAGACTCATATCTCCATTGGAGAGGATTTATGTTCTTCTAAGAATGAGTAATAATGTTAACAATTAATAAAAATTATTACCATTTCCTTTTATTTTATTTTTTCTTGTTCTAGAAATGCATAAGACCACAACCTGACAAGTTAAATATCAAGCTTGCAGAAGCTAATGCCAAAATAAGCCAGATGAATTCGCAAAAGGTACAATTAAAGCTTATTTGAAATTATTTATACCAATAAATAATTACTACCAAGTAATTGGTCGACTGTTATGTCTATTATGGCAATGGCAGCCTAAGAAGGAAGGTAAGCAGTGTCCTGTTCACAATTCTTTTTCGGGTTTTCTCTTAAGAGGAGTATAATCAGCAAGAACGGGAATATATTCCATCCCAATCTAATGTTTTCAAATTGGGCCAGATTCTTCCATTGGGAAGGGTACCTAGGTTGTGGAAATCGTAATATGTCAGAACAGGAGCGTCTCTTGGGTGGAGGGCGCAGAGTGGTGTTGAGGCGGAAAAACCGTGTTTTTGTATGATATTTCACTAATTTATTCGGTAAAATATTTAAAATTGTAATAAGTGTTTGGTGTCACTGGTAACACAAGACAATGAACCCTAGGTCGAGATCAAGAAAACAATATTGATTGATAACAAATGTTACTTTGCACTTCGCAAGGAATACACATCTCGCCTTTTATCCCGGCAAAACAATCAACATCTCTAGAAAACACTAATCCACCCAGCCCTGCTGTATTCACCAGAAACATGGACGATGCCTAAAAGAATTGAGCAAAACCTCCTAATCTTTGGGAGAAAAATACTGCGAAGAATATTTGGAGGAGCACAGATCGATGGAAGTTGGAGAAGACGAACAAACGCCGAAATTTACTGAATGTTTAATGATCAAGAAGTCGTTCTGACGATGAAGCTTCGAAGAATGAGCCTGATAGAGCCTCTTCTGAAGAATAAGAGGGAGACCAAAACTGAGATGGGCAGATGGTGTGGCACGAGATTCAAGGGATCCCCTGGGAGTCAGCAGCTGGCTGATGGCCGCACAGAACAGAGATGAGCTGGAGAAGGAAGCTGGTGGAGGAGGCCAAGACTCGTCTCCGAGTTGTAGTGCCATAATAGTTAGTTGATAATGTATGTAATGATTTAAAATTGTGATAATTGTAAAATTTTTGTAATATCTATCTGTCGAGAAGATAGAAAAGAAAGTTTCTGAGTATTATCTATTTGGAAGATGGATCTTCTACAGGATGGCTGTTATTACGATAGACTAAAATCTATTACTCTGCCTCTTAAAAGTTTACAAATAGGATGAACAATGTGTTCCTTTGTTATAATTTAAGTTGCTCAGAAAAATAAGCACTTCCTAATATAATATATCTATAACTTCTAATAGAGATAAATATCACTCATAATTTTAATTCAATTAACAATCTCCTAAATTTAATTACTGCTATTATTACTACGTTTATGTTACTTCTTCCCCAAACTTAAAAATTTATAAATTTTTAGGAGCAAATGGAAAAGGCTTCGCAGGAATACCAGATGGAGATAGATAATCTGCGGACCCTAGTCACTGAAGTGCAAGAAGAACTGTGTTTCCTACATGGCCTTAAAGATGAAAATATAAAACTTAGAGCAGAATTAAGAGATGACATTCATAAACATGTCACAAATGCTGAGCAAGAAATAAACCATTTAAATTCAGAATTGGAAATTTATAAGGAGTATAAATTCAAGGTGATTTTTCAGGCACAAAGTATTTGATCATTTTTTAATATTTATTTTTTTTCTTATAATAGACGCTGGCAACCTAAAGGGAGAGCGGCAAGGAACCTTCTACTTTTCTTCTCTCTCAATATGTTTGTAGGGACTAGAGTTTCTATTTCACAGCAATTTATTTAAAACATAATTTAAAACTAGTACTCTATAAACTTCTAAAGTAATGACACAGAACAACGAGAAAAACACTTTTTGAATGAAAATACATTTTTTAATGTTTTTTAGTGCTAGAAATCCGAATGTGACACTTAACAAGCTGTATCACTAGATACTTCGTTAGTCAACGTTTCGGAGGCAGTGAGGACTTTAGAAGTAACAGATTTATTCACAATGTCTTTTACAAATGGCATCTTAAGATACAGAGTTATACTGTAAATGTATGGGCTGACTACAAGAGTTTACTCCCAAGAATGTATGATCTTAGGAGCATAAGGGTTATATACCCTAGAATAGTAGGGGGTGAAAGAATTCTGGGAAGTTTAGAAAGCCTGGGAAAGGACTAAAGTTATGAGAAGTTATTACCAATCGATATTATTATGCTTTAATATTGATGTGAGATCCGTGATAAAAGGCCTGTTGCTAAAATCTGTTATTGTTTCCAAAGTCTTGATAATGGGTCTTTGTGATGGGGGTTTGTGTCCAGTCAATGCCTTTTAGATAACTACTTCTAAGCTACCAGAGATAGCTTGCCTGGCTGTCTAGGGATATCATTGTCCTTTTATCATTTGAGTCATGAAAATTCTCAATACAATATATGATTCACAAATTAGCATATTTAACAAACTGAATTATTAAAATAAAGTTTTGCATGTATTTTTCATTGTGAGAATACAGTGTTCATCGCAACTAATTTCGTAGATCCTGCAGCAAAACTAAACATCCTTTCTTCATTATCATTTGTCTTGATATACAACTAAGACTAATATGATTATATATTTTTAGTTTTATCGCTAATATTTTAGGGTTTTTTTTGTTATCTATTTGTCTTTCTTTGTTATCTACACCTGACAGTTCAAAGCCAACCCATTTGACATAATTTTTTTTTTTTTTTTGACCTTCTTGAAGTTAATGAAAAAACATATCTTGCATTACTTATTTTTTATTATTAGAAATATTACATATTGTACTTTTGTTTCCTCAATACCGAAGGTAGGGAAGCATTGTATTCGTGCGACAGGTTAAAACATTTTTAGTGCTCAGAATCGAAAATTTCCATTCGCGTTTTACGTTACAGACCATTGATTAAGGATCAAATTTGATTCGGTGTCTTCTGTCTGTAGTCAAATCGATGTAATGGGCATATCACCTACTACCGTTCATCTGATTTTCATGAAATTTTCAGGTATTATGCGGGTTGTTGTCTAGATGGCCCCATATCAATTTTATTAAAGTCTAACCAGCACTTCCGCTTATGCATGCGCAAACGCATTTTTGTAGAAATACCAATATTCCAGAAATGGCTCGTTCGATTTGGCCGGATATTAGCTAAAAGGTTGGTGTTTGTCAAAAAATAATGTTTTTATAATTATAAAAATAATAATGTTATTGAATTCTCGTTGCTTTCTCTTAAATATGCGCAAACGTGTTTTCCTTGATACATCTATATCTCTAAAACTGCAAGTTCCATTTAGCTCAAATTTGGAGAGTATTTAGGGATTGCTAAACGTAAAATGAAATAGGCATCAATTTTATCAAATTCTATCTACTACTCCAAAAATTCCATTTAATAGTTAAAATTAATATAAATAGTTGTCAACAATATTATGACTGTGAAATGTTGAATGCACTGATCATATGGAGTTAGGTTATTACAATATTCTTATGGGGTTATAAAATTTAAGGTTTTATTAAAAAAAATAATAGATACTGTATTGTTTCGTCTATTTTAAACGTTCTTGGTCTCGATTTCCTCCTTAAATATCGAAGCTGTGTGTACTTCATCTATATTATTTATATTTTTTTGCTTCATGCGTTTTGTTCTGACTGAAGAAAATTATTGATCTCGTTAACTCGGAACAAACAACAAGTTGAATTTTAAGATTGAAAACATACATACCTATTAAGTATATATCACTACTATTAGTGCAAAAGGTCTTATGTAAACATTTTTAACTTTTATTCTATTTATGCTAAAGGCGACATTTTGTAGTCTGCAACTGATATAAGTAGTCTGCTACTATGAAAAATAGCAGACGACAAGAAAATATGAAATTATATTAAGAAAGCATAAAAAAAAAAAAAAAAAAACTCTCTTGTAAAACAATCAATTTTTACATGTGAACTTTTGCACTAACAGGAGTGAAATGCATGTTCAGTATACATTGGTATTTTTTTTTTTTTTTTTTACGAATAACCAAATTGCGGCACTCTTTCGCTTTTTAATATTATCTGATGAACGAAATTATTGGATATCAAACCCTCAAATGTTGAAGGGTAACTAACTGTATTTCCGAATCGGCTTCTCCCAGAGATTTTATTCTCATACGAAAAATTGTATATCTTGTAATATAGATATATTTTAACCAATGAAACCGTTGAGAAAGCTTTACTGGCCTTACTTGGCACACTTTTTTTTTTTTAATGTATCTAAAAAAGTAATAATTATATCAAATAAAAATATTGTTACTTCTTACTTCTTTTTTGTTTCAGTACGAGAACTTGAGAACATATAATGAACAGCTTAAAGATGAACATGACCAAATCAGATTACTAATTAAGGAAATGGAATGGAACAATACACAGCTTCAAAATGAAATCGAATCGCTTAAAACCAAAGTCACTACACTGGAATCGCGTGAACTGGCTATATCAACTGCCACAATAGACAAGGAGGTCTTAAGGGAGAGGTTACAGATGAGAGAAGAGAAAATTTCTTGTCTTGTTTCTTTTCTGGAAGATAAAGAAATGACAATTCAAGAACTAGTGGTGCAACTTCAGAGATTGACGTCTAGCATTGTTGCTAAAGACGTAAGGAATTTTATTAAGTAGTGTTCAGTTTTAAGTATAAATCTTTAATTATAGTAGAACAAAAGCGTATACAATTCTAGTTTCTGTAAGTTCTTCTTCTTCTTAATCAATCCTCTTCTACCACTAGATCAGTGTAGAGGATCCTGTTTATAGAGCTTGATTCATTTATCTCGTTCCCGCACCAGCTGACTGCGTCTATTCCAATTCATTCCTCTCCTATCGAAATCCTGCCTGACTGAACCTTCTCAGGTCTTTCTGGGCCTTCCTCTCGGCATTCTTCCTTCCACTTTTACTTCATATATAGTTTTGGCCATTCTTCCTTCCTGCATTCATTTGACATGGCCAAACCAGCGTAGCCTGTTTTTCTCAATTGTGTTTTCTGCTGGTTTTATTCCCAAATTGGTTCTTATCGTTGTATTCCTAATTTTGTCCCTCCTAGTTTTCCCCTCTAATCTTCTCAGAAATCGCATTTCCAATGCATGGATATTGCTTTTATGTTTTGAGGTTAGAGTCCAGGATTCACTGCCGTAAGTCAGTACGGGAACAAATGTATTTCTATACACTGTCTTCTTGACATTTTTCCTTAGCTCTCTTCAGTGCCATGTTGAGCACTATTATAAACAATAAAGGGCTTAGACTACAGCCCTGCCTTATTCCTTGGGTTCTCTGAAACTCCCTAGAGGTGTGATTATTGGTTCTGACCACGTTTATTTATCAATGCGGATTTAGACAGAACCGTTCAACTATCGATTAAATGTTTAATGATTAATAATTTATAATTAATGAGTAATTGGTAATTGGTTGACTGTCGTGGATAATGAAGAGAAGAATAGTTGGGGTGGTCAGTCAAAAAGAAAGGCAAAAATAAATGATAATATTTATTTTTTTTACATATGCCGACGTTTCGACCTGAAGTTCAGGCCTTCATCAGGGCTAAGAAAATAACTTGTTATCTGGTTATTTTCTTAGCCCTGATGATAAATATTATCATTTATTTTTGCCTTCCTTTTTGACTGACCACCCCAACTATTCTTTTCTTCATTATAATTAATGAGGGTTGTTCACCAGCTGTAAAACGATTTCAAAATGGCTTATGATTTTATTGACCGACAGAAACTGTATAATATTCTAATCTAGCATGAGATTTTTTAAAAAATAATAGTAAATCTAGTTAGAATGTGCTTGACCAAAACACTGAATAAAGTAAGAATCGGTAATTATTTATCCGAAAAGTTTGAAGTTCGTTCGGGTTTAAAAAAAATTGATTCCCTTTCACCTATCGTGTTTGATTTGTCATTAGAACATGCCATTAAGGAGTTAATGCGTATTGAAAAAGGGTTTGATCTGGATGGGACAACACCCGTTCTTGTCTATGCGGATGATTTGTTCCTGTTAAGCGAAGACACTGAAACTATAAAACTAAATGTGACAATGTTAATGAAATTAAGTAAAGAAACGGTGCTCGAAATAAACAAAAAATTAGGCAAAATATATGGTTAGCTGCAAAAATGGCGGTAATGCCGGTGATATCGGTTTAGAAGGTAATATGTTAGGTTATACAGAGAAGTTTAGGTATCTAAGGTCTACTATAACTAGAAAAAACGAAATTGAACACGAGATTAAGGTTAGGCTGAAGGCGAGAAATGCTTGTTATTTTTCTATGACAAAAGCCAAATACTTAGCTCGCGCCGCCTATCTTAGAACTTAAAAAGTGGAATCTATAATACGATTTTCCTACATACGGTTCTTTATGGATGCCAAATGTGGCCGCTTACGTTAAGGGATGGGCAACGTCTCAAGATTTTTGAAAATAAAGAATTGCGCAGAATATTCGGACCAAAGAAGGATGAATTAACCGTGCGTGAAATGTATCCGGTTAATATAATTTAGGCTATTACACCGCGGCGAATTAAATGGGCTTGTAAAATCGTTGAACTAAAGTAACGTAAGAATTCCTTAAAGGTTGATATTTGCTATGCCGACTGGTAAACCTGCGAGGGGTAGACCAAACCAAATGTAAGTAGAATGTAGAGCAATAGAAAAAGCGAAGATTAAATTTGATTCTTGTCAATCATGAAGGAATGCCGTGACTATAATACTCGAAAACGGGAAGTTCACTTTTGAGTAAAATACTCCAGACTCGGTACTCGTGCTGTGATTTATCCTTCTCTAGCCATTCGCAATTCACGTTATCGCCATTAACTTTTTAACATAGAAAACTAAATATTTTTGTTCTATTTTGTTAAATAATTGTTCTTATATATGTACAGATAGAGTAATGAATGTTTTTCTTGTCACATCTTAAGCATTAGTTGTTAATTTGCAGAGGTTAAGGTACGTAGATAATGTTATATTGTCGTGACGACTGTCATTATACACTGACAGGCAAAAAATTCCACCCACTTGATTTTTTTCATGTTTTCATCTAAAAATATTTCTGCTTTGGATTGGTCGATTGTTTTTAATGAATAAATAGGTAATCTTTTTGTTGGTTTTCAATTAGGAATGTTAATATAGAGGACAATAACCCTTAATCCTTAATTCAATGAAATGATTCTAGATTCCAATGTTTACTTTCTATGGAATCAAAATGTTTTTTCAGTATCATTAGTTCAGTGCCGTTTCTTGCAGCACATTTCTTAGTCTCCGGCTTTTAATTTTTTCAATATTAAGTTTTAAAATGCCTCTTAGTGCTGAGGATGTTGCGCGTGGTGTGGCACTTATTGATGATGGACGTTCCGTTAGATATGCAGCTAATGCCATCGGAGTTCCATATGAAACTTTACGAGACGCCGTCAGGCGTTTTCGGGAAACTGGTTCTTACAATAGAAGGCCCGGTTCTGGACGGCCTAGGGTAACAGAACCACGGGATGACCGGTTTTTGAATATGAGAATTTTTCGAAACCGGCACCTTACCGTTGTTCAAGCGATTCATCAGCTCGAAGAAGTTCGAGGTGTGCAAATTTCTGTACGTACTGCTCGGAGAAGATTAAATGAGTATGGATTAATGGCTTTTCGTCCAGTAAGAGAGCCAGAGTTGACCAGAACTCACAGAGTAACACGGCTGTCTTTTGCTCGAGAACACAGCCATCGGACTATGGACGAATGGAGTGCTTTACTTTTTACAGATGAGTCAAGATTCGCTCTTCGATCTACACACGGGCGTGAAAGGGTGTAGAGAAGAAGAAACGAAAGATATGCAGCCTGTTATTTTTCCCAGAGTCAGCCTTTCCAACGTGGTTCCTTAATGGTGTGAGCTGGGATTTCGATGGAGCGCCGCACAGAATTGGCTGTTGTTCGTGGAGGGTCTTTGACGGCCATTCGCTTTGTAGATGAGATTTTGAAACCGCATGTGTTGCCTATCCTCAACGAAATCAGTGATTGTTCTATTCTAATGCACGTTAGTGCATGCCCAAATGTCGCCCGCATAGTGCAGACGTTCCTTCAACAGAACAATATTGGGGTTTTAGTCTGGCCAGCACGTTCTCCAGATTTAAACCCCATTGAGCATTTATGGGATAACCTCGGAAGACGAATAAGAGCGCGTGCAACACTTCCTGATACACTGCAGGACCTTAAAAGGCCTCTTCGGGAGGAATGGGCTATCCTCCAGCAAAGGGACATTTCCCGACTGGTGGAAAGTATGCCGAGGCGTCTTCAAGAAGTAGTGAAGGCAAGAGGAGGAAACACACGCTACTAAACGATGATGTAATTAATTTCTTTCAGAATAATAATGGTTTGTTTTTCAATTTTTTTTTCTCTAATCTTTCTTACCCAATCACATTTTGATTATTAAAAGTAAAAAAGGGTTATTGTCCTCTATATTAACATTCCTAATTGAAAACAAACAAATTTATTCATTAAAAACAATAGACCAATCCAAAGCAGAAATATTTTTAGATTAAAACATGAAAAATTCAAATGGATAGAATTTTTTTGCCTGTAAGTGTATTTACGGATCAAATTTTTGTATTTAAATGTAGTCACATTTATATAAATTGATATACTAACATAATTGAGGACGATTAAATGAAAATTGTCACTACCGTATCCAATTTTAGTGTGGAATAAGTAGAGATAATCAGTGTATTAATACCTGAATTAAATGCTTCATTTTACTCACCACCTTCCTATATTTTCTAGGGCACTACAGGGAAACAGGTAAATTCTCTTAAAATAGCATTACATGAAAAGGCAACTAAGATTGAAGAATTGGAAGATAAACTACACGCTTCAGAATTACTTATTCGTGAATTAGAAAACATTAGAGATCATTTTCGCCTTTCAAATTGTGCTTTAACTGAAAATATGCAAAATTACAAAAAACAATTCAACATAGTTGTCTCTTGCTCCAAGAAACTTCTATCCCAATTAGAAGTATGTAAATTGGAGATAGATGACAAAGATCTTCTCATCCGTAAGCTATCCATTTTTCCTCAATCCGCTTCCTCTATAGTGCAATTTGCTCAGTTGTTAAATATTTTAAAATCGAGTGAAGGCCTGATAGATACGGATAAGCAAGGTGCAATTTCTTTCATTCCAACGATGAGAAGAATTGTAGAGCAATTAAAAGCAGAAATAATTGGAGATAGAATACAGTATCCACTCTATGAAATCTATGATTCCCATTCACAGACCGACTTTAAAGGTATGGATAAGTGCGTCCAAAACGAACTATTTTACATTGAGCATAAATCTGTTGATGTTTGTCTTCCAGATAGATACTACTTTGCTTATGAAAAATCACAGACTGAAGTAGCTAAGCTAAATGCAGTCATAGTGGCCTTGAAGGATTCTTTCCTTCGAGTAGATTCAGCTAACCACACACTTGAAAAAAAGATTATTACTTCATTGGCAGAAAAGGGCGCAAGAGAAAGAGAGATTTGCTCTTTGCAACAACAGTTAATTGCTGTAAATGAGGAAATGAAATTTCTAAGAAATGAAATAGAACATAACTATGCACTGCTAAATAAATCTTTATGTGAAATAGAAATAGAAAGAGTAGTGCAGGAATCGACCAGCGAGATATTTATAGCTACCTTAGATTCAACTACCTATGAGTATAACATGTATGTGAACGTTCTTGAGTCTCTTCTAAAATATAAAGAAGAAAAAATTAACGTACTAGAAGACTACCTCTGTAATGAAACACAGAAAGATGAAACAGTTGACAATGAACATATTACGATATTAGAAAATGAATTAAAATATATATCAGATAAGTACCTAAAAGAGAAACAAACTGTAAACACTTTAAACATCCAAGTTTCCAAGTTACAAGGAGCTTTGACTGAGAAAATGGACCATTTTAAGATTGTACAAGAGAAGCTTCTGAGAGCTGAAAAAATTTTTGAACATTTAAATAATATAGAAAATCAATGTATGCTGAAAGGTAATCATCTAGAAGAATCAACAATACCAACTGAAGAAATAGTAGTTTCAGCATCGAACAAAATATTATCTCATAGTGAGAGGCTCGAGTCACATTTGAAAGAAGAAAAGGATTTAAAGGAAAAACTACTTCGGGAGACAGTTTCCAGGGAATATGTTTCAAATCTAATGCAAAGAAATAATTCTAAGAGAAGGAATTTGAAGAAAATCATTAGTCAGCTCAAAAGTAATATTATCAGAATCAAATTTGCTTTACTTAAACTACGAAATAAACTGAAATTATCTGAAAGACTAAATAATGAATATAGTTCAGAACTGTCAAAACTGAAAACTTTTAATATGGAAGTTAAAAAGGAAGTAGTATATATGAAAGATCAACTCCAAAAGGAAAAATTGAAAAACAAAAACTTAGAAATGTCCTTGGAAATTAAGACTATGGAACAGTATGATCAAAGAAATAAATCAAAAAAAGTAGAATGTATTCTTATGAGAATAATAAAGCAGTTTGAAAGAAGAGGAAAATTTAGTTCTGTTAGCATACAAACAAATTCCACATTTAGAGACAAAGAAAAGGAAATTTCAGTTTTAAAAATAAAAAACAAAGAACTTAAAACTGAAAATGATTCTCTTTCAAGCATTATAGAAAATCTGAAAGAACGATTAGCGAACATATTATACATTCCAGAAAAAGATAGTCATCCACCTCAGACTTTATCGATCGATTCTCAAACAGATATAATACAGGACGATGGTACTTTGAGTGATATACGAAATCATTATGAAAACATTATACAAATTTTGCAGAAGGACAAAGCTTTAGAGAAGGAAGAGAGCGAAAAACAATTTAAGAATATTTTACATAAAATAACCGAGGGGTATGAAAAAGATTTGAAAAATAAACAATTACTTCACGATACGGAATTAGAAAAACTAAACGTTTCTCATAAGGAAAAATGCAAGTATCACATTAACAAATATGAACTAGAAGAAGTTCACCAGCAGGAAATAGAAAAACAAAAATCACATTATGAAGCTTTATTGAAGACAAAAGAAACGGAAGAAGATGAACTAAACAGAGAAATAAAAGAACTAAAAGAAGAAGTTGGCAAGATTATAACTCAGAAGCAAAAGGATGATTCTACTTTCAATGACAAAATTAAGATACAATTAATAAATCTAAAAACAAAATTTAAGAAGCAATACAAACGCTTAAAAAAGGCCCATGAAGCTGAGGTTTTACAATTGAACAATAAGTATAATGAAAGCATGAAAAAAATTAGTGAAGGGAATAGTGCACGTTATTGCATTGAGTGTCAAAATGCTGATAGGCTCAATGCAAAATTAAGTGTGCTGTGTCAAACTGAAATAACCAATAATGCAAAATTAACTGTTGGTTGTCAAACATTAGATTTTGATGAAAGAAAATTAAATAATACCTCCCAGCCACTTACAGAACAAATAGGTAATTTCAAAAGAACCGCCGTTCTATTCTTTATAAATTTTATAGATATTGATAATGTTTAAACATATTGTTCCAGAATGCCAAGCAACCAAAGAATGTTTAGATTACAATATTAATAATATGTACCACAAAAAAAAGATTGATATAAACTTCAAGGAGAGTATAAAATGTTCAATCAAGGTAATTTTTTATATTTAATTATACCCTTGTTTCAGCTTTTTTTTTTTTTTAATTCTTCCCAATTACTTTGTTTTGGCGTACCCTGAAACCACAGAGCCGATTTTACTGTGTGTATTCGAAATATATATTATTATTCTTTAAAACATAAAACAGGAAAAAATAGAAACACTTAATTTTCATATAAAAGCGTGCTACCCAATTAATAATGGGTTGCTAGATACATAGCATAGTCGTTAATCGATTTGGACAATTATTAAAACTACATATATAAATATACAGAACTAGCTGAAAATATACGAGTATTATAAATGTGTTTCTTGTTCATGCATTTTTTTTAAACATTTCATTTCCCTTTGTCTCGCGCCTCTCTCTTTATAAATCTCTCTTATATTCTACAAGTATTCACATGCTTAAAATTATACCATATAAATATTAACAAAAAAAGTGTGTATATACAATAAGCATTAAATACGATTTTATATTAACAATTATACAATAAACATTTTCAATAACTAAATAAATAAATTAAAACTCTCAACATTTCTATGCACGTGGTGTTGAATGATTCATAAATAGTCGAGGACTATGTTTTCAGCCAACCTTGCTACGTCCTTAATGTCGACACCCTGTTCTTCGAGCAAGCTCCTTGTTCCTTTTGCAATCGTTTCGCTAGACCCAAACCAGAGGCTTTGAATTCTCTCTCTGAAGTTCTCACGGAATTTATCTTTTAGGAAAGAGATACATTTATCATATGTGTTCTTCTTTCCCGTTTCCACTTCGCCTGCCTGATCGAAGTCACTTCTTTCAAAGCGGACAGTTGGATAGAAGATCGGTGCTGTCCTTTCTGTCTTGTGGAATGCAACAAAATTCGCATTTCTTGTAGAACCTTTACTGTCGATGCAGTGACGCAGTGATGCAGTTATGGCGGATTGGTAGCCAAAAATATCCAGTTAAGGATCATTCTATGGAAATTGTGAAGCTAACATTAATCCACTTTACTGTCGGTTAATTCCATTATGTATACCAAGGAATCCGGTTTTTGAAATAGAATTAAGAGTCTTAACCCTGTGTTGTAATTTACACAGATTTGATTGTAATATGTCAACATGTTTCCGTTTAAATTTCAAATTTGTGTAATTAATGAGTGTATCAGGAAAGTGTACAGTAATTCAGAGCAATTTAGCCACTCGATTAAAACTTGGTGGTTAGACAATTTAAAGAAATAACGAATACTGTGACCAGCGGGCCAAACACAGAAATGTCAATGCAAAGAAATAATTTCTTTCAAGTTATGCCATTGTTACAGTAACATGAATGATTTCGCGAGGCTTGTGTCTTATCATTTCGAACAATTACGCTCGTGGTGGACCTTTGAGGTGATAATACATTTCCGTGTTCTCCGAGTGAATATTGAAGAAGTTCTCTCACAAATTAGTTGGCTGAGAAACAATCTCATTTTGAAGGAGGAAGTGGATTAATTGCAACAATTTTATATATCCATAACAATTTGGAAAACAAAGTGGTTATGCTAGTCCAAATAAAATTACAAATTACTATTCTTTTTTTTCCTATATAAAAAAAAAATTACGAATGTTATGTGCAATTTTATTATGCAAAATATATTATTAAATTTCTCATGAAAATATTAATAAATTGTAAATTTAAAAAGAAAAATGTATTTAATCGAATAATCGATTTTATTTTCTCGATATGAATTTTAAAATACAATTTAATTTTTCTAGTTGTTATTTTTTAACATGTTTTTTTTTCCTATTCTTCTAAAACGGACATGTCTCTATAGCGGACAATTTTTGATTTCCCGTGAGTGTCCGTTTCTTTTGAGGAGAAGTTTCATTATTGTACATAAAATGGTCTAGTATTAGTAACCATTTAGCTTAATTTTTTAGTAATGAACGCGTTTTTTGTTTTGTTTTCTTAGCTTGTTCCGGTCCTGGCGAATGATTAATTTTTAGGGGCAGGGTGGTCGAGCGGACTGAGTGCGTACAGCAGTGTGCGTTGCCCGGCAACGTGATAACCCAAGTTAGAGACAATAAAATAATTATTGTACCCACTGGGGGTCTTTTAACTCTGGCATTAATCCCAGCCCTCACCCCTTGGCCCGCGAAAACCCCCGTATAACCTAAACGCGTGGTAGGGGGAGAACAAAAGAAAAGGTTAATTTATTATTATTATTTGGAAAGCTATACTCAAATATACACTTACACAAGGAAAAACGACGCTGTTTAGATTAGATGATTAACATGTTTAAGCATCGTACTATATCTGAAAATATTCTCAGTTTGACTTTCAGGGTCTGGTATTGGTCTTGGTCTTGCAAAAGTGCAACATACCTATTAAGTATATATCACTACTGTTAGTACAAAGGTCTTATGTAAAAGTTTTCAATTTTTATTCTATTTTGACATTATGTAGTCTGCAATTGATATAAGTAGTCTAATACTATGAAAAATAGCAGAGAGCAATAAATATATAAAGTTATACTAATAAATCGTGAAGAAATAAATAGTTTTTATGCTTTCCTGTAAAACATTCAATTTTTATATATGTCATTTGCACTAACAGTAGCTAGCGGGATATATATTCAGTATGCACTGAATTTTTTTTTTTTTACGGATTATCAAATATGCAATCTACAAATGTGGAACTTTTTCGCATTTTAGTATTTGCTGATAAGCTAGACTCATGAATATCAAGAACGTATATGTTGAGGGATTATTGAATTTTCGAAAACGGCTTCTTCCAGAGATTTTATTCTTATAAGAAATTTTTTAGACCTTTTGATATAGATATTTTTTAGCTAATGAAAACGGTGAGGAAGCTATACTGACCTTACTTGGTAGACTTTTTTTTTTCATGTTGGTTTTTTCTTCTGCTTCACTCATTTATTATTCTAGGAAGCAAATGGTATGATCCCTAAAGAAATATTTAATATTTTAAATGCCCTCAGACCATCAACCAAAATATTGAACACTGCCCTAAATTTATGCATAAAAGATAAAACAGATCCATCAACTGAAAAACAAATAGTGTCAGAAATACTTAAAACTGGTACAGATGAAATAGAGGTCGATTGCCAAGATATGCTTAAAACTTGTAAGTGTGTTGTTTAAGTACGCATTTTAGTAGAACTTAGGATGTAATTTTAACACCAAAAAAATCACATTAAGGCACTAGCGGATCCAGCCGGGAGGCTCGCGCCCCTTCCCCTCTCCCCCTAGGAGCTGGAAAAATCCAAAAAAGATTCCAAAAAGCAGCTATTTAAAGAAAAGCGAAATATAGGGAAAATTTATCCTCATAGACGATGAATATTCTAATGTAATATAAAAAAAAACGTTATAATCAGCCATCATCGGAACATTATAATTATAATCGGATTCAGCCAGGGGGTGTGACCCCTTGTATGTTGGATTTGAAAAAAAAAAAAAAACACCTAATTAAAGAAAAGGGAAATATAAGATAAATTCCTCTTCTGAGACAAATTGTCTATGATTTAAAAAAAAAACCTCTCTCCCCTGGATGGTTGGGGAAAAGTTCCAAAAATCAGCAATTTAAAAAAAAAAAAGAAATATAGGAAAAATTCATCCTCATAGACAAAATTCTAATGTAATATATAAAAAAAGTTATTATCGTGATCAGCACTAGTAATTTCTGCTAGGGAGCGTTCCCCTCTGGATGGTAAAAAAATAATTCTGAAAAAAATTATCCATAAACAGCTATTTAAAGAAAAGAGAAATATATCATCCTCTAAGATGAATATTCTAATGTTATCAATATCATTATCTTCAGCTCGAAACTGCATTACTGGATCTTGGCTGCCTCGAGAGTTTTACTTCATAATCCCTGTCTTGAGTAGCCTCCACCAGTTTCTGATTCCATGGATTCTGGCATCAGCACTTACTCCATTTTCCATCTCAGTTTCGATCGGTCCAGTTTTCTTTATCTAACCGACTCTAAGTGTTGTTCTTTTCTTAAAATAGCTGCTTTTGGGAACCTTTGCATGAGGCAAGATACTAATTATTTGATCTCCGATTTGATCGGAATCTGATTATGATCGTAATCAGAAATTATTCTGAATTTTTTTTCTTAGAGAACTCATTTCCAAACTGTTAGGACATTTATTGTAATCTTTCTCAGATTTCGAACATGTCGGTAAAAATTAACGTTCATTGACCGTGATTATAGATCATATTACTTAATAAAATTATTAAGTTTAGGTACTCGTTCGTACCTAATTTCTCTTAGGTTTAGTTGTAAAACATGAAAAAAAAGATCAGATAAATCTATATTTTTTGTTTCAAAAGTTTTCTCTTAGTGACCCGTGTCAGCAATTCAGTTTTTTACATGTCTAAACCCATGTACAGGGTGTCTCGTAAGTAGAGGTAAATATTTAAAGGAGTGACAGCCGAACTTAATAAATACAAAAAAGCTTATATAAACAATGGTTTGATTTTCAGCAGAAAAGTATAGAATTAAAGTTTTGCGATTTTTCATGTAAGCCAAATTTTTTGTTACATTGGAAGTGATAACAAAAAAAAACTATTTAATTTAAGTTATTAACGATTGATTCACCGTAAACTAGACACAATTTACTTTAAATAAAAAAGAGTTTACTTTTGTTAAAACCATTTAAATAGGACTTTTGAGCGGCTAAACTTAGGAGTGGGGGGAGATGGGTAGTGGCGGGGAACGGATAGGGGTAAGGCAAGCACCTGGTGCAGAGATGCGCTCCCCCTCTGAGAAAATTCCTGGATCCGCCACTGCATTAAGGTGAAGAATATAACAGGGTTAATGATCAGCATAGTCTCATTGTTATAAAGGAATGTGTGGTGAGAAGAAAAAAATTAGGTGACTTGGGTTTCCGCTTTATATGTTTATCACCATGTAAGAGCGTATATTGTTTATGAATGAATGTGTGTATTATATATAGAAGGATTATTTGTTGATTTAGAAAAAAAAAAATTTTTTTTATTATTCATTTAGATAGCTGTTTCTTATCTGTAACCAGATACTTTAATATTATTAAAAACTGTATACTAATTAATATGTTTGACCCTCGCGCGGAGCAATCAAACAATCCCCAAGATAAAATTCGCAGCGCCACTCGTTATAGCTCTCCGGGAGTCATTGTTTCTTGGGTTAAACATTGTGGTCATGGTCATAGAACGCATTTGTGAGGATATGCCCACTGTTGTTCCTAACAAAATCGTAGAAAAGTTACGCATCTTGGATCTAGCTAATCCCGATTTTCATCGGCCTCGATCTGTTGATTTTCTTCTCTGGGTAGACATGTTAGATGAAATTTTCCGCATAGGTAATATGAAACAGGAACAAGGGGCTCCTAGTACACTGGAGACAATTTACGGTTGTATTCTAATGGACCCCAACAATGAACACTCTCTGGACCAAATACATTTTGGGAGACCGATGTTACACGTCGGCGATGTTAAAAAATCTGCTCAATGCGAGCAGCATTTTATTAATACTCATTCAACAGATGAAACTGATTACTACACAGTGAAGCTTCCGTTTAACGCAAGTCTTCCAAGTTTGGATGATTCCAGACATGGGACACTCAAGCGATTCAAACTTTTAGAAAGGGCACCCCACCAAAGCTTGGGTATTCCAAGATTATTCGGGAGTATCGCAATAAGAGCTACATATCACGTATCACCCCAACAGTATCCTCGGTAATTTAATTTTATATATTGACTCTGCAGCAGTCACGAAAGCCCCATATCTTATACTCTTTACTGCAAAACTAAAATATTCCAACGCTCTTTTCTAGCCTGTTTCGTTATTTTCATTTTTTAGACTTGGGTATTACCTGTATCTCTACAAACCATTATAGGTCTTGGGTTCAGTACTTTGTAAGGAATTAATGTTTCTCAGTCAACGGTTGTATAAGGAGAAGAATTGATCGATATTAAGAGCTACGGCCAAATTTTTCTCCTTGATTAGTTATTTAAGTAACATTAACAATTTTATAGAGGTTGTGTGTGACCATAGAAGAGCCGACCTTTGGCTTATGAAAAAAAAATTATCTGACACAGCCGGATTCGAACCCGAGACCTGGAAAATTAGAACCTCTAGTGTCTTACTCACTGTTATGGTCTTAATACTGTGGTAGAATACCAATACTAATACATAGCTTTTATACTTCAAGAAATGCAGTAATAACTTCATTACACTTTTCTTTATCAATTTCAACAATAGTTATTCATTAATTGTTTCAATATTTTTATTATATTACAGTGTCCAAGTTTGAAAAACGTGCTACCAAAGAAAATGCCATATTTCAGGAAATTAGAGATATCTCTAACAGAAGTAATAATTACTGTTATTTACAGCACAGACTCGAATTAGAGTTTGATAGAGCAGAAAAACTTAGAAACCAGAGAGATGAATTGAGCAATGAAGTGTTCAAATTAAAAAAACAACTAGCAAATTTGGAGTATGTACAATTAAAGTTAATGTGGCACAAATGTAGTGGACAGTGAAATTAACTTTCTATAAAAAAAGGTACTTCTCTAATCCTAAAACCCTTCCAACTGTCAAAGGAATCTTCCATATCATTTTTATATCATGGTTGCTAAAAATATTTATTGGTACTCAATATGTTTTTCTAAAAACTCAATTAATCATTGAAAACAAGTATAAGATAATATTGTTTTTTATCAAATATATCTTATTTTGAAGATCTCTAAACTAACTAGATCTCAAGGAACTACTGGTACACACTGAGACTTACATGTGTGATATCGTGCTAAAAACCTTTTTTTTTTTTTATTGTTTTGATAAATTAATCATATTTAAAGAAAGCTTTTTTTAATTTTTTTAAAATTTAATGACAAAACAATCTGCACCATTAAGGAGTAATAAGTATTACGGCTACAAGTATTCAATTTAAATAAACTAGACCCAAGGATATAAGAAATATTGATAACTTAATCTAATGTTTTCTCCTTGGTCTCATCGATGTTTCAGCCTATAAGTAACAGATATATTTTTGTTAAATAAATAAATCAATTATAAGCAAAAATGTTCAGCAATGTCAGCCCTATTAAAATATTAAAATATTGAATTCACCAAGAATTTCCTCCCAAGCCTTTTTTTTTTTTTATCTGAAACATTATCTATATCTTTATTTTCTACATCAGCTTTTTCGAGAACTAGAGATGTGAGGAACTGTAACTCCTCTCCCCAAAATGTTTTTCTTTTTATATCACTCATGTATATAATAATCATGTATATAGTAAACAAAAATACAACAATAGTTTATTATGTATTTGAACAGTTATGTATCATTATATGGCTAATATCAAACTGATTCTATGAAATGGAGTGGAGAAAATAACGTTCTTAATAAAAATTTTCTTTTTTAGCTTTTAACCTGCCTCTTAAATACTCAGAATAAATAGTTTGAACAAGAAGTTTCATTTCACTAGATTTTATTTTGGTAGAAGCATAATAATAATAGAAATAATAATTTTAGAAGTATAATAATACCAAAAATAATAATAATAACACGATAATTACATTTTCTATCAGTTAAATATTAGTCTACCTCCCCTAAATGTCCCCTAGAGTAGAAGGGAACTTGAAGGGGTGGACTCGGACCATAAGGACGATAAGGGAATAGTGGGGTTTAAGTGACGACTATGCATACCACCAATTATTTTACAAACAAGACCCTACATCATGACCTCAACAACATTCCATCCAGATTTTCAAATTTTCACCTGAAGCTTATTCATCATCATAGTCTAATCCTTATCCACCTTCGAGAATACATACCATCCTTCTCCAAAGTTAAAACGGCGGTGGCCCCGAGATCTCTTGTAAGTATACTTTTGGAATCCTAGCAATGGTCAACTACTCCACTCAAGTCCTGAGCGTCTGTGGCTCTTGTGCCCTCTTTCAGTTTCCACATGGCTGCAAAAGTGACCTTGGGATCTCCTGGAGTCTTTCTTTGCCTTTCACATATGGCGGACAAAGGTTGGCTCGGAGTTTCCATGGCGAATGTAAATATTGTACTTAGGTATAATGTGTTTAAGAAGATTTATTAATTTTATTATTTTTTTCTCACTTGTTTACTTTTTTATTGTTATTATTTAAATACTTATAGTCATTTCTCTATTATTTGTATATGTTGTATGAATGAAAAAATTTAGCCTTATTACTTTTTGCCCTTCAAAAGTAGCAGATTATATTATTATAAAAAAAAAAATAAAAAAAAGATGGGTCCGTAGATAATCATGGCTGGTTAAACACCGAATATTAATGACGGATTAATAGAAGCCTTTGTCTCAACAAATTTTACTACCACCATTTACATCTGGCGATGCCTTCAAACTATCCTCGTATTTCATTTGGATTTTCATTTTCCCATCAGACACACAGTTGATCTTAATTTATGGGAATGAGCACCTTGATTCGTTGTTTTTTTTTTTTTATTTTAACGTAGACCGAAGTGTAAGAATATTTACTCATAGGGCGTCTCTGTGGTTCTCTTTTTGAGGAGAAATAAATTTGATATTTGTATTTCTCACCTCGTAGAACCCTTAAATGCGATTTTCATAACAATTGAAAAATAAATATTTTTAGTTCAAAATTTCCGCCTAGTCGTAGGAGCCTTAGTTTCTTTTTTTTTCGAAAATCACAAAACTTGTGATAGTTTCGATATAGTTCCACTTATCCACACGAAAATTAGTATAAACTTAAGGCCCTATACTTTACGCATGAAGATAAAAAGTAAAAACGTTAGAGGATTTTTTATTTATTGATTCCTTATAAAGGCGTAAAATCTAAAAGTTATTGATTTGGTTTTGAAGAAAATAATTTAGCATGCAAACTTTTATATTTTAGTAAACAGCATGAAAACAAATTCTTCCATAAAAGCAAGTCCATCAATATATATTGTTTATTTAAAAACAATCTCGTATTTCAGAATTTATGTGGACGTTAAAAAGGAATCTGAATCGTTCTTTTATGACAAATATTAACTTGGTCTACTTTATTGGAGGCGTCTTTGGGTTCGTTCGATACAATAAACAATTTTTTTTTTTTCATTTTAGACGAAATTACAAACCGATTGATATATAATAACTTAGAAACCAATGTATGGCATATGTGTGTGTGTGTGTGTGTGTGTGTATATGGGGGCAGCCGTGCGGGCTAAGGCGCTTGCAATAGGTAACCAAGTTAAGCTACGCCGAGCGTGGTTACACTTCACCGTATATGACCGCCCGATTTGGGGGACCGTCCATCAGGGAAAGCCACGCTGCCCGAGATCCCCCCGGGTTCGTGAGACCCATAAGCCTACTGGAGGCAACTCACACCGACCGGGCTAGGACTGATGACCCTCCCACACCTAGAAGACCACATCTCGCGGTCAAATATCTACAAGGTTTCTAGCGCCAACCGAAAAAAAAAATATGTATATAGATAGATAGATAGATAGAAAGTAAACTTTATTCTGGGACAAGGTCCCTTATGAATAACAGATATGAACAAAAAAATAAAAACTACATCTGGCCAAAAATTACATTAGTCATATTAAAGAATATATAGTATCTTCAGTAAAATTATATTAAAAATAAGTAAAAATATTTTGAAACATTTTGAAAAGAAAACATAATAAAAAAAAAAACATTATTTAAATGAAAAGAGAACAAAATAAAATAAACATGGGTTGATTTTTAAAATTAAAACTCTATCAATTTTAACAACCATTCACCTCAGTCAAAATCTGTTTCGCAATATTTATTTCATTGCATAACGTCATTTTGCGATGTGAGAAGGAATTGGTAAAGATGATATTTAAATGAGGAATTAGAGTGCTACCAATGGGTAGTTTCTCAACAAGCGTGTTTCATGTGATAATATTCCTCTGTACACATTTACTTGATGTATTCATACTAATACAGTTGTAAATATCATAATAAAAGTTAAAAAAAAAAAAAAAAAATGAGGATAAGGAAGAGGCATGGAGGATATCAGAAGGCAAGGAATTCCAGAAGGCAGTGGATCGGGCAATAAAGGAATATTCAAGCGTCTTAGTTCTATGGGAAGGGATATAAAAGTCGGAAACACAGGATCTTGTTTTCTGGGAGTGGACCACGGGTTTAAACTGTAGGAGACTGTAGGTGTAGGAAGGGTGTCGGGTGTTGATCGTTTGGAATAGGAAAGATCCAAGGAAATATTGTCTGTGAAAAGAAGGGAAGAGCCACTTTAACTCGTCGTAAAGGTGGGACACATGAGACTGCCTCGATGTTCCGAAGACAAATCTTAAGCACGTATTCATGAGTCGCTTCAATCTATCCATAATTACCATCGGGATGCCTCCGTACACCACACAGCCGTAGTCAAATTGGGGGAAAATTAGAGAGGATACAAGGAGCTTGCGGATGGGTTGTGGGAGTAGGTGGCAGGAGCGATGAAATAGCTTAAGGGTACCTATTGACTTACGGGAGATGAGTGCGATATGGGGTTTCCAGGAGAGGTTTTCGTCTATGGTAATTCCTAAGTTTTTAACGGAGGTGCTGAATGTAATAGAATGATCGTTGATGACTAAAGGAGGAAGGAAGGAAATGGATTTAAGAATAGAACTGGAACCTATAATAATGGCCTGAGTTTTCATCGCGTTTAGATTTAAATTATTCAGACTTGCCCAGGCACTGATTCTATGTAGGTCTGCCTGAATATTGGCGAACGCAACTAGTAGCTCAGAAGGATGAAAGGAAAAATAAATTTGGGAGTCATAAGCGTATAAATGATGTGAACAGTGGTAGATGGATTTGGAAAGATCATTTATGTAGGAATTAAAAAGGAGAGGGGAAATGCTCGAATCCACCTGGCCACTCCTGAGGACAGTGTAAGGAAGGAAGATAGGGGTTGGTTTGGAATTCTGACTGCTTGAGTTCTGTCGGATAGGAAAGACTGCAACCAGAGGATAGAGCTGTTGGAGAAGGATAGAGATTTTAATTTAGTGTAGAGTTTAGAGTGGTCTAAGGAGTCAAAAGCTTTGGAAAAGTCGAGAAGTATTAACACAGTTAACATTTTTTCGTCCATTGCGGTATGTAAGTCATTGGTAATTTTTACTAGGGCGGATTGTGTGGAGAAGCCAGGTCGGAAACCAGATTGGAGAGGATCGAGTAGTTTTGAGTTTTCAAGGAATTTAGAGATTTGGGATTGAGCTGTTCTTTCCAGAGGCTTAGAAAGGTTAGAAAGAATGGAGATTGGGTGGTAGTCTTTAGGAGAAGTAGGATTGGGGATTTTGTTAATAGGTCTGACTGATGCTTTTTTCCAAGCAGTAGGAAAAACTGAGTTCTGGAGGGAAAAATTATAGATGAAAAGGAGAACTGGAACGACTTCGGGAAGGCATAATTTTAACAGTTTGACTGGTATTCCATCAATTCCGAAGGAGTTTGTTCATTATAGAGGAAATAAGGTCGGTTGGTGAAATGTTGGAGAAATAGAAATTATCACTGTTAAATGAGGATGATAAGGAAAACTGGTAAGAGGTGTTTGAGCTGTTGCTGGTGGTAGAAAATATAAAGTAGGAATTTAGATCATCAGGTGAAACCGGGTAGATCGGTGAGGAAGAGGATTTACAAAGAGAGAGTTTACGAAGGGTTAGCCATATTGATTTAGAATCAGGAGCAGAAGAGAAGGTTTCGTAAAAGAAGTTTGATTTCGCTTTCCTGATCGTTGTTTGTGTCAAGTTACGGAGTACTCTATAGACTTGATAGCCATCTGCTGGTCGAGTTCGTCTGAAGTGTCTGCGGGCTGCCTCACGTCTCTTTTGCATGTCACGGATTTCTTGACACATCCAAGGAGCAGGTTGGCGACGAAAGGTTGAAGTTTTGATAGGAGCATGTATGTCAAGAATATGGATAGGATTAGAAGTGAGGATGTCTACCATATGATCAATAGAGGTGCAGGAATAAATATCATTCCAGTTTAGGTTTCAAGGTCAGGCAGGATTTTGTCACGGGTAAGGTTGTCAAGATTGCGGAAAGTTATGGTTTTAGGAAGAGACGTGGGAGTTTGGATATCGTACGATAATTGGATGAGATCATGAGAAGAAAGGATAGGAACGGGTAATTGAGAACAGGACTTGAGTTTCTGCTCTGAATCGATCATATGCAAGTCCAGCCAGGTGTCAGACCAACAAGTATGGTGTGTAGGAGAGAAAGGGACAATGAAAAGGTTGAGGGAGAAGAAGAGGTTTTCGAAGTAGCGTTTGTTGTTGGATTCTGTGAGGAGGTTGATATCAAGATCACCGGAAATTATAATGTTATTATAGAAAGGGACATAATTGTACAAGGTTGATTCAAAGGATGGGTCAAAAGGAGTCAAAGGAGGGACATAAGACCACATAAAGGAGAGGATGTGCTTTACAAGAAATTTCAGCGAAGAGGAATTCAATGTGAGGATGGTTGGAAGATGATGAAATATCTAGAATACGGGGTTTCAGGCTATTGTGAACATAGAGACCAACATCTCCGCCATTCCGGGAAACCTGGTCATGACGGATGAAGGTATAATCAGGTAAGAAAACGGAGAAGGAAGGGATATAGGGCTTAAGCCATGTTTCAGAGACTGCAATAATGTGGTAGAAATTATGGGTGAAATATTGGAGAAATTCGTCATAGTGAGCAGGAAGGGATTGTGAATTAACATGGCAAGTAGGTAAGACGCTAGACATAACAGAAAGGAGAAAAGTATATATATGATGGATGACGCTGAAAGTAAGAAAAAACTGTGAAAATAAATTTGAAAAGAAGTAAATAATGGCTGTAAGAGAAGAGAAAAAAATACAAAGAAAATAGAGTTAGGTTTAAAAATATAAAGGAGAAAAAAAAATATTACATTGGTTAAAATAGAGAAATCATAACAATGATAGTAGTAATAGATGGGCAACCCAGCACGGTGCTGTATTATACAATAGAAGATTGGGAGTTTACGGATACATTCTGTACGTTGACGTAAATCAGAAGGTCAGCAGAAAACATCTAGATCATCTGGTTGGTCGATGTATATCACTGGATGGCCATCTCCTTTTCTGCAGCGCAGTCTACCCGCCGAAAACCATACGTATTTTAGCTTACCTGCCACTCTCTTCTGACGTGCGAGCCAATACAGCCGTCTATTAGCAGGGGTCATTTCTTCACCCAGATATATCCGGTGGGAGTCGTTTTCCTGCCAGCCAATGTCCCTTTTGATTTTTCTTCTTTGTACCAGCTCGTCTCGTACTGCCTGCCTCACAAAGCGAGCTATAACGGGTGGTGATCTAGGATCGTCTTTTTTAGGTATAATATATATATATATATATGGAAAGGCGGTGCCCCTCCCCCAATATAAATAAAGAGAGGGTGAGAATATTGTTTCGCTCCTCCCCTCAATATTTCGAACAACAAAAAAAAAAATCAAAATTACCAACAATTAATCGACATGAATGAATAATACTAAAATCAATTAGGAAAATGGAAAAAATCCCTTTACTTAAAAATATGTAATATTTTGTGTTTTGTAAATATGTTAACAATGCCATTCATAACATATTTTCAAATATACCCATAACCCATAAAAACAAAAATGATAATATTTTAAGAAATATATATATAGATATATTTTTTTTTCATAAATGACATTATCTCGTTCGTTTTACAATCGTTATGTTGTTTATGGTAATTGCCACTCATAATTTTTAAACATAATATAAACTTCCGAAACTTTCTTAAGGTGTCCATCTCTCCCAACCAGAATAAAAAGTCTAGTTCCATCTAGTGCCTACGGTTTCATTAAAAATATACTTACTGACGTTTTGTAATAAACCGATATATCCTAATGTTTAATAAGTTATGACACATTTGGCGAAATATTGATACGAAATTCTACGGTATAGCGCACCAAAACGGATAAAAACTATTTTTCCAAACCCAGTGTGTGCTGTCACAAATTTCCCTGATATAAATACAAGAGTAATTATGTAAAAAACAAAAAAATGGTAGGAATAAATATACCTTAAAATTCGCTAATGAATTAATTTAAAAAATAAACCACATAAACGTCTTTAGTATAAGAAATTTATAAATATATATAAGAAATATTAGTAATTAAAATCTTTAATTTAATTTTAATCTGTTACCTTTTTTTCAAAAGTGAATTATATCGTTGTATCATTGTAGGTTTTATTATTGTATCACAAACGTTCCCCGTCATAGAGATATCTTTAAATATTTGAGAATAAATTTTTGGACACTAACAAAAAAGATTTTTTTTCTAATCATAATTTTTTGCATTTCAGAACTAATCTTCGTTTTGAGAAAACCAAAAATGACAATTTAAATAAACTGGTGAGTTCAATGAAAGTGCAAAGACGAACCTCAGAAAAGTTGGAAATGTCATTAGAGGTACTGATTAAACCATTCTAAAGGTTCTTATACAAAAGTCAAGAGCCGAGCGGTAAATTGTCTGACTTATTTAGCCATACGCCTTTATAAACTCCATCCTCAATATTCAATTTGTACCAGTTTGCCAACTCAAAGCGAGAATTTTTAAAAATAGAACCTATTATTGCAATAATAATAAGCAGTTAATTAGTTTGTATTTTTTATTATTTTAAGACTAATGCCCATGAAATTGTAACACTGTTAATATTCTTAATTGGTAATTGGTTGACTGTCGTGGATAATGAAGAGAAGAATAGTTGGGGTGGTCAGTCAAAAAGGAAGGCAAAAATAAATGATAATATTTATTTTTTACATATGCCGACGTTTCGACCTGAAGTTCAGGCCTTCATCAGGACTGTCTCCTTAAGTGTTGCAGGGAGAATCTGTTATTATTCTTGGGGACTGTAGTCTCAGTATAAAATTATTTTTTCATTCATTTATTCATTTGATTCATTCATTAAAAGGGGGGATCCAACTTCGTGAAAATTCCATTATTTGAAGATGATTTTTTTTTTTAAATTACTGTGAAACTGCACATGATGCCTCCCTCCCCAAGATGCCGAAAAACGTTATCTGCCGAAATTGGAAGGGAGCACGCAAAGTTTTCAGACATCGAGCACAAACTGCAGAAACTTGGATCGGTTTTGGTGTAGTCGACAGATTTGTGCTGTTCTCCGCATTTCACACACCGCGGCAAGTAGTGACAATATGTGTTCCTCTGTCCGTACGCCTCACAATTGTAGCACTGTACGGTTTCTCTCATGGGATATGGTATCTCTACTTTCACCCTTGTGTAGTATAAACTTGTGTATTCATATACTTCTTCAATAACTGGTGATGACACTAAGTCTACGAACAACAGATATAGAGGCGACTTTCTTACCCCTGGATGATCCTCCTGAATTCTCCTTCAAAACGAAGATTACCTGGCGTACTTTAAAGTCTAACGTCGCTAGTTTTTTTTTTTTTTATCATTTCACTTAGGGTTGAGGGGTGCCAATTTCTTATCACCACTCATAAAGCTGTCTCCAGTCTCAGCTGGTACGTGTGAAAATTCGCATTCGTTTCTGTTAGGTATAGGTATAGGTAGGTATTCGGTAGGTTTCAGCAGTATCATTTGTTGTTATTTATGTAAATGTTATTTTAGTGCCTTCGGTCTTGTTGATGCATCAATAACTGCCAGAGCAGATTTCATTTAGTTGAGTACACAATAACTGAAAGTTTTTTATATTTTTAACAAATATCGGAGGGGGCATTAGTTCTCTAGGTATTATTGTTGACTTCATTACTTCTATGTCACTTTGAAGCACTTGGTAAAGAAAGAGGATTCTTCTATCATTTCTTGCTAAGTTTTATCTGGTTGTGACTGAAATTCTGGTTCTGAAGAATTCACTGTGGTTATAGGAAGTTTGTTTTCCACAAACCACAACAGTTAGATAGGTAGAACCATCTAACCGAGATCTCTTAGTAGGCACCTTACTGGACATCACTTTGTGATAGAACCGCATTTCATAATAGGATTAAGAGAAAAAAAATATAAATAATACGTTAATGCCCAAGATTGTCATTGTATTCCTGGCAGATGCAGAATCCGTTCATGAATGCCTAAAAAATAAATGGAAGGGTTCATTGGGCACATTGGCTGAGGAGCTGGAAGATCTAGGAGCATAGTACCTAGAGATAGTTCTACAATGGATTCTATGGCACAGTGGGGTTGTGGGGAATGAAATCGCAGATCGATTGGTCAAGGAAGGAACACTGCTCCCCGAAATTAGCAGCCTACCTTGGTAGGAGGCGTGCTAAACTATTAATAAAGCAGCCATAACCCAAAGGTGGAAAGCAAGTCACCCAAATCACAATCCCCAAGACGATTATTTCATCATTATGTGATCGATCAAGAGCGAAACCTCGAGCGATTTTTAGTGCGTCATTGAGCATTCATCCCAAATAATAAGTTTGACTTTCTGCAATACTTTTACATGCCGCAGTCTTTGGTAGCGTTGAATGAGGGAGTTTCAATGAGTTGCATGATTCGTGTCAGTTTCAAAACGGAATGAGCATTTCTTCTTTATCTGAAATAACGAAGTCATTTTTGGATCGATTTATTGCCAGAATCCATTAACTAGTAACGTTTAACTAGTTTCTTCTGATGCTTCTAAGAAGAAGATTTCTGTCTCATTACTGAAAATTTTATCATAAATTCCTTTTTGCACGAGAATTAGCATAGGAATGTTTGATTGCACATATGCCAAAAGATCATCGTTATTGCGTTCACGAAGCAATTCTACATCGAACGAAGCAGCAGGAGATTGATTCGGTGATCGAATTCCTAATTAATTGAGAAGTTTTCTTGTATTACCGAAAACACATTTGTAGACTTCCCATGTTAAATCCATGTTCATGTTGAATTTTCCTTGCATATTCAACGGAAAATATCTTTAGCCTATGTGAGATTTATATTATTTCCATAACTCTGTAGGAGATGAAGGAGAGCATATGGTTAATATTATTACATACAATCCAGGAATTTGCTTTGGATACGACGTGGTGTTGCATGCATGCATCATTAATACACATATTCCAGTGTCGGTATTGTATTTTTTTTATTCCTAACTAGTGGAAAGGAAGATCGCATGGCGCCCCAACAGGTGCTCTTCCAGATAAGCGCACCGGGGCAAGTGCCTGGTTGCCCTACTCTAAGGCCGCCACAGACTATAGACCTATATGGCGTAGTGAAGAATCTGACCATTGCCAATTTGAATTCCAATCTTTACAAAATTTCTCGGAGCCACTGCCACTTCAACCTTATCGGATATTGTTCGAATGAATTTGGAATATAAGGATTGGATGTGTTTGATAATAGAAAATTTTGTAATCTCCCACAGTTCCAGTTCGCAGGTCCAAATAGGTTTCAGAATTGTTTTGTAGATCAGTTATTTGTTGCTAATAGAAAGTTAAGAATTTCTATTCAAGTCCATATAGCTGGTCATATCGTCGATTGAGTTCTTGTCTTTGAAGTCTACTATTTGAGTTCCACGTTAGTCTTCCATCTAAGAGAAAGCCAAGATTCTGTATAGTGTCTGAAAAATGAAAAAGGTGGATGGAATTAAAGTGGACTGATGGAATGGATATGCGTCGGAGCGTAAAGGTAATGTGTTTGTTATTTTGACTTACCTGTATATACAATATAGTGTTTGACGAGGACAGTATTGCGATCGTGAAAATTTTCGAATATGAGTTTTCAACAAAAATACATGTTTTGAGGTCCTCTTAATCCAAATTACCAAATCCCGCAAAATTTTCGGTGTGTGTGAGATGAGCCTAGCTCAAAAACGAAAAATTCTACGAAATTAGAAATGTTTCGGCTAGAAATGACCAAGGCGGGAAAAGCAAAATATCTTAATGCTTAATTTTTTGTCGATTTAGAGTAAACGCCTGTGATTGAAGAACTTTACAATGCTATTATTACATGCGTGTAATTATTGAGAAGCGTTAATACCTATTAGTCCACCATCAAATCTTCTACATTCCTCCTCTTAACAGCTCTTCTTACCTCACTAGCTTATATACTTATATCATTTATCTCTTGAGTTCGAAACCCTCATTCCCTACCAACATACTTGTCGACCGGCCTTCATCGTCCGTCAAAGCCCGATTGCAACCAATATACAGCTATCATGAGACCAATAGCGAGGAATGTCGGTTCACAGCCGAACACTTAATGAGTAAAATAGAATACTACAATCTACCTCATTGGAAGACAAATGTTGATCAACTAAAAGGTAGATAGGCTAAAGAAATATTCATCATACCAAAAAAACCTGCAAAATATTCTCCCTGCAACACTTAAGGAGATAGCCCTGATGAAGGCCCTGAACTTCAGGTCGAAACGTCGGCATATGTAAAAATATATATTATCATTTATTTTTGCCTTCTTTTTTGACTGACCACCCCAACTATTCTTCTCTTCATTATCCACGACAGTCAACCATTTACCAATTATATTTCATGGATGTATAAAGCATGTGTTTCTAACCTTACATACATTCACGGTTGTCTTATAATTCTAGATTTGATATTATATTTAAATAATTAGGTATCACCGTCCGTTTATTCCAAATAATTGTCATGTAACATTTTAGAAAATTAAATTAGTGAATAATTTGATGAATTTTCCCTTTGCGATAACACAACAGTGACTACTATCAATAAGTGTGACAACCTTTGACCTGTCTATGACAAGCAATGCAAATCTCTTAATTCCGTTTTAGTAAACTTTGCAATGGAAAATAATAGTTTAATAACTAATAGATTTGTTAGCTGTAATCTTTTAGCTTTATAAAAATTCAATTAAAAAATTTTATAACAGCCGAACATGACCAGAAAATAATTTCTATTCAAAGTTGAGCAGTAAGTGAAAGTTATGTGTTGGGCGCACCAGATTTTTTTTTGTTTTGTTGGTAATTTAATTGCATTTCAAAAGTTTTATTATAAATTTTACCATATAATATATACTTAGCGAGTTAGGCCTCAAAATATTTTTGTTTTCTTTATACTTTTTTTCCCTGAATTTTCTCGGGAATTTAGTCCATATACGAAAATTGAAAGGACAATTATTAGAACATTATTGGAGAGTTTCATCAAAATTGTTAGAGCCGTTTTCACACTACAGTCTATAGAAAAACATGTTTTATGTTCATTTATTTTGCATATAACACCCAATTTCTCACAGGCATCAGTAGTCAAAATCCTACAAAATAAAAAAAAGAAGCAATAAAATCGGTTCAGTAGTTCCGAGAAAATCTTGGCATAGAAAAAGGATTTTTCGGACTCATGGGGCTTTGATACGTATAGATCGGTCAAAAACCGCATATCGGAAATTTGACTCGATCGCAATACTTTCCTTACCTAGTATAGGTAGGAACGTAAAAATAGGCAGCTTATTAGGGAAAAAGAAAATT